TGCACATGTGCATGTTGTGCACATGTGAGTGTTTTTTACATAGAGCTATATGTACAGATGGTTGAGTTGTGCACATGTGAGTGTTTTTTACATAGAGCTATATGTACAGATGGTTGAGTGTGGTATGTATGGTCAACATGTACATGTACTGGTACTGTACATATACGCATGTGCTGTCTGGATCAGGTGGAGGTTACTGCAAAAAAGACGGCACTTGAAGGGTTTTGAAAAGTCAAAAACACTCCACAGAGTCCTGTTCTGAAGTACTTTCGAATGTTAGTAACCTGGAAGGTTAACAGCAACTCCTTTTTTGGGGGGTCCATAACCTTGTTGATAAAGTTCTTTAGTTTCTGCTTGAACGAAGTCTTGGCAGTGCCTGGACTAGAAGAGGCGCGTTTCACAAAACCTTTGCCTTGCTTAGAAAAAGTTTATTGCCTGTGCAGTGTGATCACAGTACAGTACATTGATATTGAATGTTAACCTAGAGATAGGAAATTCTTTTCATGCTTTGACGGCTTTTCCATTCTCAGGGGAATTCAATTTTACTGTACAGATTATGAAAAACAATTTTCCACAGTGGGAGAACATTGTCACACCTTTCTACTCAGTGAGAAAACATGTTCGCAACTTTTCACTCCGTGGGAAAACATTTCCACACCTTTACGCACAGTGGGAAACATTTTCACACCTTTTCATGCAAATGAGAACGTACATGTACAGTACATGTATTTTATGCCCTGTAAAATGCGCATTGTGTGAATGTGAACACAGATTCTTTTTACAAACTTTCCCTTTTCCCATTCACAGTGTAAACTTTCAGAACGGTGACAATCTGCGTGTGAATTGTTATAGAAGTACAGTGCACACTGCACAGTACGGGTACGTGTACATTGTACGTTGAGGTCCGAGGTGACAAAAATACTGTACATGTACCGGTATACATGTGCATGTATGCCATATCATGTCCAGCATGTTACATGTACATGTATAAACCACATGTTATATAATGTGGATTGCATCAATATCTTAGACTGGTGCAGTTTCACTTAAATTAATGTGACCCACTCTGCAAAAAGGAGTCTTAAGTTGCCAGAGCCACTTTGGAGTAAAAAGTCCTTTAGAATAATTTTGCACAATGTAAATCAATAGGAACCCACATGTTAAGCATTTTTAACCATGGAGTATCCACCTTCATCAGGATGCCAACCTGAGTGATACACTTACACTGTACATGTACATCAAAACAAAAAGTTCCATTTGCTCTTTCGAATACAAATGAAAACTAAACAAGTGGCTCTGGCAACTGAAGACTCCTTTTTTGCAGAGTGGGTCACTTTTAGGATACGTTAATTCTTGAGCATTGCATGTTTCTTTCCATTTACACAATGTACATGTGTACAGTACCTGGCTCTGGCCTACTAGGACCCACATGCTTGCATATGTGCGGGTCATGACTGTTCTGCGCTCCCAACCAGGAAGTCATTCAAAGTACGTGCCGGTACAAGGTCATATGCATGCGCACATCTCTGATGAGAAACGAGGAACTGTAACTTAAGCAAATGCTCATAAAAGGAGGGATCCCCCAAACAAGAAAGAGATAGTTGTAGAGCATTTCCTTGAGATAACAAGGCCTGTGGTATTCATAACTTTGATAGTGAGGTCTCGGGTGACTACATGTACAAGTAATATGATGCACATGTGCATTTCAGAACCAAATAGTCCATTTCAACATGGTGTGAAATGTATGGAAGACTCTTGGAAGTGTACATGTACATGTATGTACATGTACCTTGTACATTTCCATGTCCATTGTACTAAAGAAAAGCAATTCGCATGTTGAAATACATGTAACGTCTTTGGGTGACTCTTCCGTTCAGTGGCTCACTGGGGGAGGCTGGCTTTTGTTGTATCATGAGACGAAGTTTAGTATTTAATTTTGTAGCACCTGGCATGGGTGGTGCTTACCGGTAGCCTTAGACATGAGACACGTAGCTCTGTAGTGTAACCAAAAGCCTGTATTCCAAATGCACCTGTACTTAAGTGTGCGTCAATTTTGATTTGAAATTAATTGCAATGAATGTTGTCACACTTACGTGTATGTAAGGTAGCTCTTGATCAAAAGGTGTTTAAAAAAAAGAGAAAAAAAAATAATGTGAACTCAAGCATCTGCATATGTTCATCACAGTACAGTACTGTACACATGTATACATGAACCTGTGCATGTACATGTACCCCGGTATATGTACGGTACCATACCGTACATGTACCTCCAACTGCAGATGTTGGGTTACCGGTACTTTGGTAACATTGTTGTGTTTATCGAACTCATCAGAACACAACTTTGGTAAAGTCTTCTCTTTTTGGGAACAGTAGTACACTGTATTCAAATATTGACTGTTACAAGTGGCATGGTAAAACCACATGTATTCACTGGTACCCTTTAAGCTTTAGCGATCCAGGAAACTTTCTACCGATACTTTCCCAAGAGATGGCCGAGGGAAAAGACATGGTAGACTGCTCCACTGGATCACCAGAGGCCAGTGTGGTTATACCACAAGATTACTCAGTCACTGTTTGTTTTATAGGGTAGCACCCCTCTTGCAGATTCTGCTTGACCTACATACATGTATCCTAATACATGTAGCTTAGCAATTGACCTAGATACATGTACATACAGTGTACGTGTACATGTATCTACATGTATTCTCAGACATACATGTATACAGTAGGAAAGACGTAGTCTATTTGAATGGGAAATTGGTTGGAAATTTACCAGCACTTTTCCAGACTACCACGCACACACGTACCAGTGCCTCTTCATGAAATGTTTGAAATCCTAGCTCTGGAGCATGAAATGCATGAAACATGCAGTGCCCACACCCGTATCCATTCGCACATACTGGTTGCTATAGATACACTAGTTAAGTTTTTTTTGGGTTGCTGTGGGTATTGCTGGCACAGTTCTAGTTCTTTTGTCGGTGCACAGCAAAATAGTGAAAAGAGTGCTGTATGACTAGCGCTCAGTCAATCAAGACATTGAACTGTGGGTGGGGTATTTTAGTTACACGGTATAAGGTATGAAACTTTACACTAATAGACCTTATATTCACAAGAAAGCTATATTTTCAGTAATGTTTCCTGAATCTATCATATTGAAACGAATTTTAAAAAACGGGTGGTGCCACACTGTTTTTAGTTCAAAGCCTCACTTTCAGTTTGGCTTTTCAAAACATAGATACACAAATTTTAAATTATTCTAATCTAAGTTTGCAACAAACTTTAATTTTGTTATCATTATTTTTACATTAGTTAACCTCTGTTACAACCGATAATGCGGTAACCAACAGATAATGTAAATTATCACTGACCGATATTGTACATGTATCACACATTGACCGATGGTATAGTGGACTTTCTACCCAATAATGTATCACGTATCGATAGATAACGTAGTAGCAAAAATACTCCAATAACCAATAATGTATCAGCACAAAACAGATGATGTACCAGTATCAACCGATAATGTATCAAACCATCAACCGATAATGTAGGTATCAGTGCACATTATGTACTCTTTAAAACCGCAAATGACTTGGCGAGGTTTCATAATCACGATGTCATTAGACTCGTAGGTGCTGTGGGGACAGTTTTTAAATACTCATTTCGATTGAGTTGTATGATCACTTTTTGAATGGAAATCTTCCTCCATGTTTAAACCTTGTCCTATTGCTATGTTCATAGCCTAAAAAGTGGCAGCCGGTACACTCCTCAGCTTTGCTTCCAAGTTCTGTGACGTCATCAAATTGATACTTACTCATTAATCATACTTCCACATATAATTTCCATGTTGTAGGTTTTTGTACTTTGTGAATCAAGATGAAACATTTATCTTCTGAGAAGTCGGCATTTGCCTTCCCTTGACCGATGACTTCATCAAACCGGAAGTGACTAGAACTTATTTGAAAAATATATACTGAACTTAATCTTTTTTTTTTTGACATCGTAATATTTAAAAATAAACTTATCGGACATCGGACGTTGCCTTCAACGGCGCACCTAGGATTTGAAAGTTTACCACACCATCGGTCAATTTGTAATACGGGTACATTATTGGTTGGTGATACAGTATTGGTCAATTGGTGATACAATATCTGTTTATTTATTGATTCATTTAACATCTTTAGACAAATAAAAACTGTCATCAAAAGATGTACATGTATTTTACCACACCTCTCAACAAATGACAGTTACTAAGAATAAAGACTAAAAAGCTTAACCCTAACCCCCCTAGGCTTCTGCACTAGAAAGCATACTGAACCTCAAAAAATCCAACAGGTTCATGTACGGTTCTTGTCTATTTACTTGTACATGCAGGTTACTGTACCAAACCTGATAAACTCCAACAGAATGTGCAAATACAAGAATAATGGAAAATGAAAAATATTGGGCAAATAACATCCAGTCAGACATCAAAAACCAATAGAAAATTAAAATGGAAGAGAGCTTATCAGAAACATCAAAAAAATAAATAAATTGGTTAGTGACACATTATCAGTTGGTTACTACAACATGGCCGACACATAAATACTGTGATTAATGAATCTGTTTGAAGGTGTTGCATATATGCAGTAGCATCACCTTATCAAGTACTGGACACGTACATGTACAAAAGTCCGAGGCTAGAATTCAGTCCAAATTCTACAAAGCAGCATGTCAGCCCTAATTCCTCCAACTTTAAAATCCGCCTGAGATGTTTGAGGGGATCAAGGAAGATGGAGCCCTGCCACTTCAGCTTTGCATGGGGCCTGGTGCCCCTTCAAAGTTCAAGTACATTGTACCGTTATGTACAAAGAATGTGCTAATGGATTCTGGCACAGAGGATTCAGGAATGTTCCATTCCCCTAAAGTGCCTTCAAGTTTTATAAACTGTGTACTGTGCCCGACTACCGGTGCATGTGACCATACAGTTGATTGTGCTTTTTTTTTTCCTGTGTCTACAGTTTCTCTGCCTTAAAAACATCCGCACATTCCTACAAGCCTGCTCCAGAGTTTTTTGTCTCAGAAGCCAAGAGCTGTTTGATCCGGATGGGCTCTTTGACGTCACCGACTTCGGTCAGGTACGTACCGACTGAGCTGTCATTCTCGCCCCATTGAAACCCGGTTGTGAAGCCAGCCTGTTGATTTGATTGTCCCTGGTGCGCCTACACTGGGTAAGGGCACATGCAATGTACTTCCCTCGCATCGACCTCCCGACCCTGTCAGGATAGCAGCCTGGGCAGCCCACAGCCTAATGGCACTGTCCCTTTGCCATTAGGCCTGCCCCTAACATCCGCAAGTTCCTGTTTGACATGTGGTTCCCTGCTTTTGCTTGTGTGTGTGCCTGTGTATTGTACATGTACTGTACATGTATGTTTCAAGTACACCCAATGCCATGATGATTTGTGCAAGTACATTATGACCAAGGTGGTTTTAAATGAGGTTTGTCACTTGACAGTGGGTAAATGCGTTCAACGGTAATAGGGGTATGAAATGAAAACTCTGGGTAAATGAGTCGCTGTAAAGAAATTAACCTTGCTCAATGCCTGAGACATTGAGAATGCGTTAGATTTCATGCATCCTGAGAGTAAATGGCTGAAAATGCTAATTTCCATAGTAACCTGGAATTACAACATGTGTCCTGTAGTGAAACAGTGAAGGTTTTGTATTGTAAATCTACTTGTGCAGTGTACGTATACATTTAAAACAAGTTGTTGCAAAAGCACCAAGCATCAGATTGAGACATTTCTAACTCTTGTAATAATTTGTTTCCTTCATGGAAAATTGGGCTGAAATTTCCTCAAAAAAAAAAACGTACCAAAGGAAGCAGACATGGCAGGGAAAGAGTCCACATGTACATGTACATGTAAGAGTGAACATAAAATGAACAATCAGATTTTGTACAACCTGAAAGATACATGTATGTACATGAACATGTACAGTGTACCTGTAGGCTGTCTGTCAGAAATCTTCTGGATTTTGTGAAGCATGTTTACTGGGGTCTACTCTTTTGACGTCACAGTTGTGTGACGTCAAAAGTAGCTGCAAAAACTATGGCTGGCCGTCAGTTCAAAAGTAAAAGAATCATTCACAAGTGTTAAACATCCCACACAGCTATCAGAGCATACTACTAAATACTAAACGAAAATACCCTATTAATGGGATTTAATGTTGAATTTGAACAAATTTGGGGTAAAATCGAAAACCAACCATATTTCTGCAAAGTTTGGCAGCCCACAAAAGTTGGAGGCAACATCAGAGTGGTCTATACTGAACCTACCGTGTATAAATTTTCAGGTCTACAAATAGTACGTGGCCACTGGGAATAAAAACACAGGACAGGTTGAAACTTGTGACAGTCGGGTCTGTACGTCATCGGGTGTTCACGCCATTTCATTAGGGCACCTCAGTTGCCGAGAGTCCGTCCCGCTATTTAATTCCTGCTGATCTGTCAAAACAAGTCCAAACAAACAGGCTGCTGCACACGTCAGCCTTTCTGCATGTGCAGCTTCACCCACTCGCTGACCAAACAGTCTTACCGCTTGGCGATTCCCACATTGTGCATGTTTATGGATCTGAACGACCCGAGCGTCAAGCAGGCTTGTTCTCCGCAATTAATCAGGACTATTTCTTGGTTTCAGCAGGGGGACCAACCGTACCATGCGTACTTGTACATGTACCTGTACATACACGGGGTGTGCATGAGATTTTGCAAAGGATTGGTCGCGATACCCGATCTAGGCTCTACCATGGAGGGATATTGCTGTCTCTTTTTTTCCTTTTTTTTTTATTACGGAGGAAACTGATTAACCATTGATAGCTCATCCGGCTATCATTTTCAGTACATGTACTTGTACTTTAGACGCGGTGTTGAAGAAACCATTAGTGTTTGGATGGGACAGACATTATTTGAGGGCTGGTGTGCATGTTGGTGATTAACGCATTCCTTAGAGAGCCAGGAGGATCAAATCATTTTAAGATGTCTTGATGAGAGACGAGGCATATGAATTGGCCCAGGCAGTCTCACAAGTATAGCGTACATGTTCATGTATCTACACTGCCCCTTGTGCATGTGCATGTATATGTACCGTACCTCAATTTCTCCTCTAAAATAAAGGCTCACTGTATGTTCTTCTCAACTTACAAGGCATGTTAATTGCCGAATTTTTTTTTTCAAACTGCAGAGGGTGAAATGGACACGAAAAAGCAGACTTTTAACCTGCTGTTTATGCTGTCATGCAGCCACTTTTGTTTCAAGGACAAACACGAGAAATGGCCAGAAGATGTCCAGTGTCTGACTCTGATTTTTTCCCCTGAAACTGCATGTGACCAGGGCCCAGGTGTTACCGAACTGCAGAGGTGCAGTCGTTGGTTGGAATATTTTTTTGGGATGAGAGCTGAGAATCAGGGACAGCCAGAAAGCACCACCACAGACTATAAATTGAGAATGTCTTTTTACTGGGCAGACACTTTTGTGTCAATTCGAGTCGCTGAAATTCTGGTCTGATTTCCTCACAGGTCATCTACACACTCTCCAAGTTATCCCAGTCGCCGCTAGCTGCCGCAAGAGGAGTCCAGTGAGTAGCCAATCACACTTACAGTTTTGCCCCATCTGTACACGTAATCCTAAGAGTGTAGATCAGGCACTGGATTTAATTGGGCCAGAGATCCCATTTACCATGTTTACCCCGGTACCAGTGTCCATGTATGGGTAGTTTGTGCACCAGGCTGCGTTTTGTATAAACTTGCATAAATGCGAACCAGTTTCTCCAGACATTGATTTCACATTCCAGTTCAGCATTGTGGTGCATATTCATGAGCGTGAACAGCCATGAATATGCAATGGTCCTATCTGTATGAAATATGAATGTGATACAGGTATGCAGCTTTTCCTCGGATCAGCTGATTTCCTGGTTTTTCACTTCACACTCATACCACTGAAAATTGAAAAACACTGTAAAAAGTCTTGCAAAGATTGGAAATTCCTCTCTTTTGTCAAAGTCCAAGTTGCCAAGTTGCATGCCTGTTTGATAGCGGTAGTGAGACTCTCCAGCTAATTTGTCCTGAAGCTTGTCTCTTATGAATATATTTCATCCGATCTGAAACGTCTATGCTTACTGGGAATTCTTTGTGCATTTATTGGTGAATATTGTTTATTGTAATTTCTCTTTTGTTTTTAATATATAGGGCATTTGTGGTTGATTATGAAGATGAGCAGGCATATGATGAAGACATCTACAAGAATCTAGAAGATCTTGCTGAGTAAGTTTTGCTGTAAATCACACCCTGGGAATGCCGATCATATTCATCAAAATAGTTACAGCAACAGTATTGACAGTAATGACCTTGGCAAAGGTGAAGAACACATGCAGCAAAAACATGGCCCCGAAGACCCTACCGTTTTTTTCTTCTCGGAATAAGTTGTTTTATTCAAATGTGTTCATTTGGGGGACTTCACGGAAATAATCCCCCTGTGAGGTGATCACGATTAAAGATGTTTGGTCTTTACGAAATTCTCATTCCAAATTTCAAAGTGACCTCTGCTGGAAATCTCCAAAGCATTTGACTGCCGGTTTTTGCTCGGCTCTAATGGGCTTTTGCCTGAACTGGTGAGGGCGCTTATTGGCCGAGGCTCAAAGGATTACACTGAGCCGGTCTTGTGCCAGACAAACACAGAGCCTTGGAAACGCTGCTGCTGGGTACACCCAGAAAATCTGTTACATGTTACCCCCACGATGTGATGGGTAATTAAACTTATACAGTATACATAATTATGCATATACTGATCTGGAGTATGCTTAATGCAAAGCCAAACTTGTCTTTCCTTTCAGTGAGCACGATCTAGCCAACGAGGGCGACATTTATGACACCGTCGAGGGCGAGGAAGACAGCATCTACGATGACCTGGTGTCGCTCCGTAAGCAGAAGTCCCAGTTCCAGCAGTCCCAGCATTCGTACTCACATTCACACATATCTGAACCAGAGGTACACAGAGGCTCTTAATAAACGATTGCTTACATGTAGTTCCAAATCTACTGGATTACAATACATTCCTATCAGGAAATTTAGGATTGCGAATAATTGTAGATTAATGTCTAGAGTTTTCCGCTTTGTGGAAAATCCGCAAAAATCACGGATTTGGGGGTAAAAAGCAGAAAACACAATTCTCAGTAAAAAAATAGATAAATAAAACAAAAAAGTATTTTTTATCTTTTCTGCACAATTAATCAAATAAATATGAACCCAACTTAGTAATGACAATTCATTTTCACTGTTTAACTCACTTTGAAAGTAACATTTGGTCGCATTTCCCCTCTGTTTTTCGTTTGCGATATCGCAGAATTCAGTATTAATTTCCTCCGGCTCTGCACCACTCCCCGTTCCCTACATAGTACCCAGACGTCTCACAGCTTATGAATAAATCAATAGGGATGGAACCAGTCTAAGATCATAGTGGCATGGTGCGTGCAGGCCGTACATGTGTCATTATGCCAAAGATACACCTGTAGATGTGCGGTAAATGTAGGCCTACATATGTACAGTCACATACAGTTTTTGTGTGTAATTATGTATGTAATTTAGAAAGCGAAAGAAAGCAGAATTTGACTCTCAGAAAGCAGAAAATTCTTGACTTAGATAATCATGAGTTCTTTTTAAACGGGTTAAAAAGCAACAAGCATGGCTTGATACTCACACCTTGATGAGTTCCGTATTCTTGAGGCAGAACTTGATTTAATCCTGTGTAAGCATTTTGCCTGTACAGATGGAGCGCGGAGATTGATCGGATCACAGGTCCGCCTTAAGCTGTGATCATTTCTATGCAGCTGTGAATACTAATGGCACATTGTCTCACTGGAAAATGTTAATATTCATGGGTTTATTTTAGCAGCCAAAGAAAGACAAGAGGCAATACTGCATAGAGGAGATTGTTGAAACAGAGAAGAAATACGTGGATGCCCTCTATATGTTAATCAATGTAAGTGCCTTATTGTGACTGTATTCGGTTGAATGAGATCCCCTGTGGACGATTCTCACTTGTGCTTCGTTAGGAAGAGCCCTTTCAGTCCTTCTGCAACTCATTTGAAAGTGTCTTACTAGCATACGTCGGCTTTGCCAAGCACTTTTTGAGTACATCTGTCCCAAAGTTTAATAAAAAGTATTTCCCTCTTGTCGAAGTTCCAGATAATTGTTTATAACATTGATATCACATGGCTTTTACTGTCATTATCACTCACGCCGAGCTCCTATCAAAAGTCCCTGTCATTGGCTATAAACTTACTAGACAATAGTTGATTCACAGTCCCGTAAAGAGGTTGAAATGAAATGCCCAAAACAATTTCCCCTGTTAGATTCCTCTGACCGAGCCTTTAACGCTAACCTTTCCCTTGTGCGTGAACAATGCTGTTGAAAGTAGATGATTCAGGACTGCTTGGGTTTCAAGCTTTAGCAGTTAGACTGCATCCGAATGTGTTGTCTAGACTTTCCATTGGAAGTGCACAGGGAGATTTGATAACAGTAGACGTAGCCGTAGCTCTGGAAGCCAATTTCAGGTGTGGCCGTATGTCATACTCATCTCATTCCTGTGTCCAACCCAGGGGTTTAAGAAGCCGCTGAGCCACAACATTCCACCCAAGACCATCAAGGACATCTTCCTCAACATGGACGAGCTCCACTCGGGCCACTGCCTCTTCAACTCGGACCTTGGCTCCTCCCAGAACTCCTCCCGCCCCCACCGGAACCGGCCCAGTATGACCATCAGTGACGTCTTCCTCAAGCACCGTGAGATCTTCCTCCTCTACGGCTTCTACTGCTCCAACCTGGTGCCGGCCCAGGACACAGTGGACGACATCTTGAAAGACCCCACGGCCCGGCAGAAGATTGAGGTGGGGGCACACGGCTCCTCATCTAGCCACCCATCCTGAGGACAGGCGAAAACAAATTTGGCTCCCTAGGCTGTTTTTGCCACTTCAAAATTTACACGCCCTCCTCCCCCATTGTTTTTCCATAAATCGTTAAAAACGATGGATAAATTGTTACATTGCCTTACCAAAATACTGGTTGCAAATGTGGCCTCAAATAGCACCGAGGGGTGTCTGGTTCATAAATTTTCCCAATAAAGAAATAACAGTTTTCAATTTTTATTGGGAAAGGAACACTTGAGCATATGGTCACTCATATAGCACAGACGATTCAGGCAGCCCTTTTGTACAAGCGCATGTGATGTAGTCTGCAAAAGTTTTTGCATACCCTGTTACCTGTGTTATGATGCTGATATCTCTGTCCTTGGAATTGTTTGGTTCATATAATGCTTCAGGTTATTTTTTTATTTGATATTGTTGATGGATACAACACGTCAGGTTTTTTTACCCTAGTGGACCAAAGTGGGTACCTTCATTCTGAAAAAAAAATCTAATCAGAACACTTATATGGTACTTGAGCTCATGAATATGGAAATTTCATCAGCATAAAATCCAAAATGGTGAAGTGTTTCCCTTTAACTGCCACAAAGGAAATGGAAAGTCACAGTAACATGGCAACAGAGCTTTCCTACATGTATTGAAGTCATCCAAATCTTATTTCATGCCTCCTTAAAGTGATAAGTGAGTTCAAGTAGTGTTTTGTTACTAATTGATGAAGGGCGTGCCACTGAGCTTAAAGAAAAATGAAGTCAGTACTGCGGTGCGTGTCGTTTGGCTGCAAAGGTAAAGCTGTACGAAGAGAATTATTGTTTTTTTCTTTTTGGAACAGGAGTGTGAGTTCCGAGCCAACAAAAACAAATTCCGACTGCGAGATCTGCTCAGCGTCCCCATGCAGAGATGTATGAAGTACCACCTGCTGTTGAGGGTACGTCCTTGTTTCAAACAGCTTGGGGTTTTGGTGGGGTTTTTTTTTTTTTTGGTTTCTCCCACAGCCTAGTTTTACCCTCTTGATCATTGAAATTACAATTTGTCATATATGCTGGAGAGCCTTTCGGGAGAAACTGAACGAGGTCATGAAGGAGAGATAAGAGCAGAGCAAGCCAAGGTCTGAGCCTGCTAGAGATTATTCCCTCTCTTTTGTTGGTTATGTCAGGAACTCATCAAGCACACAGACAAGTCCCATCCAGAGAAGGCAGAGCTGGAGAAAGCACTGGACATTATGCAGGTTAGAATCCGAGAGAATGGTTGTCTGCTACGGCTTGTGTAATTTACCTTGTAGTCTCACATCAACGAATGAAGGTGGTTTCATGGCTATGAATTTGCCGGTGATAAGGAAACTTGCAGGCAGTTGCATGAGGCAGTCGGCCTTAATTGTCCTATTCTTAACCCCAGTAGAACCTGTTTTTTCTTTTTTTGGCTACCTCACAGCCGGGGAGGAGTGGATTGTGCCTTCCTAAGAAATCAGCTGTCCCCATGTTCAGTCTTTTTGAAAGCTCGCTGAATTTATGCATGATTGGGCAAGAACAACACAAGGTCTAACCCGCAACCTTCATTCATGGCATCCTTCACAATCAGCCGTGCACTTTTGCTGTTTACCCTAAATCCTCCAAGACTGCCCGAAGGATTTTGGAGGACTGAGGAGGGTTAGGGTTGGAGACACTTGTCTGTACAGATGTGATGTTTCAGCTCCACCCAGCTTCTGTTTTTGCTGTTTCAGCCATTTGAATTTCAGGGCCGCACATGCAGACAGGCGTGCATAAAGCATGCCAATGGAAAAAACAAAAGGTGCATTTTTGACTGATAACTCCGGGAAAAGTCGACGGTGTGAGAATGGTGTGGCTGATTTTCACCAACTTTGTTGCCAAATGACCATAGTATATTACTCAAAAAAGCTCCTGGAGGCTCAGCATTGACAAGAATTCTCAGAATTTGTTCCTCCCCCCTCCCCTGCCTTAGTTTTTTTTTTAGGGTCAAAATAACCAGAAATTAAACACCCTCAGCATCCTATGACGTAGACTCGAACCTTTCTGATTTCTTGGCAGGACGTGTGTCTCTATGTGAACGAGGTGAAGAGAGATAACGAGATCATGCAGAACAACAAAGACATTGAAAAAAGGTGAGACACGCTCGCCCTGACACTCTTAAAAGTTAACTGTTTGAAGCAGTGCACTTAGATGCAACGCAAATAAGGGGCTGAGGATCACTGTTGCCACAAATGCAAGCTTTTGAAGCATGTAGAGATTGAAACGCAGGCCCCCTTCAGTTTTTGTATTTCACTCAAGATGTAAGCACATTTGGAGCAGGCATGTTCCTGAAGATAAACCAAGACTTAACCACTTCCTGCCGGGGCAGTTCTCAATGTTGATGATGCTGGGCCGGTATATTTATCTTCTTTTTTTTTCTGTTTTCAAAATTCTTTAAAAATTCCTATCTACATTTACTGGACACTTACAAACACGTGAAGGCCTGCCAGGTGGCCCCACTCGCCTGAAAGAAAAAAATCTAGTGACGCCCGAGTATTTCAGCCAGGTCTGCAGCCTTGTAAAAAGAGCCCAGATTGTGCGGTGTTATATAACTTTCTTTTGTTCACGAACCTGGCTCAGTGTGCTGCTGACCCCTTTTCATTAGGGGCCAGATTAGCATGTAGCGGTGCTGTGTGGCTCATCGCTGTAGTGGTGGAGCGCTTTTGTGGTAATCCGCTCACTCTAAATGCCCCAAACCGTGGTATACTGTTTCAAAACAAGGCTGGATTATCTCCACTTTTGAGAGTGAAAAAATGTTGGTAATGCCCAGCAGCCTGGTCTTTTGTTCCGAGTACGGTCTTTTGTTACAAGGCCCTGTTCCCTTTGTCCAAGTTTGGAGACCCGGGTCACACATATAAAGCATACATATCCGGATCCGGAATCCCCGGCAGAGAGTGGCTAACGTTTCTGTAAACAAGGATGTGCCAAGCGTGCAATCAGAACAGGAAAGTTAAAACAACAGCAGAGCGTTTATCAGAATGGCGCTGATAAGAACACGGATAACATCGACAGATCATGGTATTTTTTTTAATCTGTGTATTTTTTCCATATTCTCCCCCCCCCTCCCAGCATGGTCAACTACAGGGGACCCAATGTGAATGAGCACGGTCGCCTTCAGAACGACGGTGAGCTCAAACTCAAAATGACTGGAAATACAAAGAAGAGGTAAGTGGAATACGTACATGAATGCTCATTTGGCTCGACCAAAACTACAGAAACTTGCAAACATCCCCATGTCCAGCATAACTTGAACAGAGCGTCCAGACTTGAAACACTAGAAGTTAATGTCAGGGGAACTTCATGCATTCTAAGCTTGATAAGTAACAAATTTGCAAAACAAATTTACAAGCCTAAGTTATTACATTGAGTTTTTGTGATGTGATACATGGAGTATTAGGGAATAACCGCACCACTCTGTGAAAAAAAAAAGCCTATGTTTTCATGTTGTAATGTCGCTATGTTGCACGCACCAGGAAACGGGTACAATTATGGCGATCAAATGATTGCAGAAACAGTTCCAATCTTGCTGAATTCTAGCAGGTTGGACACCGAATGTCATTTTTCCAGAACGCTGTTGCACCCTTCAAATAACGTCTTTGAATATTTTTCCTTCCTTTTTTTTTTTTTTCATTCAGCGTCACATCCTCCACACAGAAGTACTGTTTCCTGTTTGACAAGGTCCTCATAGTCTGTAACAAGGGTGGAAAGGTAAAGTTGTCTTCAAATCTATTCTTTCCGATTTCTTCATTTGAGCGTCCTCAAAAAATGTCTGCCTCATTCTGACACACGGCCTTCACCTCATCAGTAATCAGTCAGCCAGTGACCTATGCCCTCAAAAGACACGTTTGAAAAAATCTGGTACACAGACTTGCCAATGTTTTGAACACATTGCCGGGCAAAATGCCATCAAGAAAATGATCGTTTTGGGCACCTTTGCAGAAAACAATCAACATTCACAGATAACAAGGACCTATTTTGTAGAATATATTTCATGTACAATGACCTTTTCTTTGGCAACCTCAGGGAGTCTTTGTTCCACATACCCTAGAAAGGAGGCCTCAAAGATGTCGCTCTGTTACCATAGCAACACACAGCTTTACCCGATCCTTGCAAACTCCGAGTTTCAAAAGAAATTTCAGTGATAGGGGAACGCTTCCAGTGAAGAGATCCCTAGAGATTAGCAGCACAAGCGCTAAATCACATACATGTACACTTGTGGTGAACTCTTGCGTAGTTACACAAGAAGTGCTTGCCATCAGTTCATAGTGAACAAGAGAAGTGCAGAGTCACCGGACCATATCAAAGGTGCCGAGCACCTGTACTCAGAACCGACAGTGAAGTGCACAAGAGTTACTGGCAATGCTAGACATTGTTCCAGCTGAACTCACAGCTACATTTTTTCATGTAGAACAATGTGTGTATGGTCATGTCCCTGAGCAGGGGTTTTACCTGGTTCAGCATAATTCTCTTCAGGGACCTTTCTGACGACCGCACTGGTTTCAGTATTATTATTGTTTTATTTTTTTTTCCCCGACTGGAATTTTGAGACATCACTGAACCATGACCTTTGACCTGTCCTATTTCAAAACCTTTGACAAGAAATTTTTCAGAACAAAATTTCAGAACAAAATTTCTGAAATTTTTCTGAATGGAAAGAAATGGATAGCCATTTGAATTGATTATTTCTAACTTTTCTGTACTGCAAGCTGTGTAGGCTACTCGTATGTACATTTATGTCGTTAGCTGAACGTTGACCATTGACCTTTCTTTCAGTGATTGTGCATTTGACTGAGTGGAACAGACGTGTGAACATACATACATGTACATATGTAGTGCCTTTGAGTACATTTTCCTGCACATGTCGAGGTCTTGTGAACGTTACCTCTTTGACAGTGACCTTTGAATTTTGACATTTGATCTCTCTTCTGTTCCTGAACTTGCACTGTGTAGCTCGGTATGGAAAAGTTCTGGGTATGTACTTGTAACACGTCTTCTGCACGCTGTATGTTTAAAAAATGTTTAAATGTCATTTATTTTCTGATTCACAAGTGTCTCTCTGTGGCATGTTTTTGTGACTGATAATACGCATGGTTTGGTTGAATATTACAGTAATTTCGTGAATGCTAAATTGAAGGTTTTCTAATGAAGTTCAGCCGTGAGATGAAATGAAACAGTGCAGTCGTGTAATACAGCATAGTCGTCATTCAATATGGGACTGCAAACTCTAAACCCTGGTCAGATAAATCATGCAAAAAGACGGAAATGTATCACAAAACCTTTGCCATCAAGCTAGTTCAGTCGGTTGTATTTATTGGCTTTATTTGTTGAATGTTATTGCTTTGTTTATCATTTCAATGAAAAAACCTAACCTTGAAACAACCTTTGCTTCAACAGTAGTGAAAGTTGAATCTTTAATAACTGATTTGATTTGGGGAATTTTGTTCTGAGATGTTTCTCCAAATAAAAGTCCAGCAAACACATTTTGCTTGATTGCATCACATTTTTTGCTACACTGCATCTTATGTCCATTTTCTTAGTAAACTTGAATATGAAAACTTTAATAGCCAAATTAATAACAAGGTTTTAAATGTGTAAGTTTACAAGATCTCTCATTGGTTATTTACAAAAATAAATATTCTTTAACTTGTCCACATCCTGGTTGAAAAGGGTAAAGAAATCATTGGTTCATTTGCATAAATAAATAACAGAAATCTTCCTTTGAAACATACATGTAGTTAAGTGTCTAGGGGAAACCACTTGTAGTTAGGTTTATGAACAAAAGAGATAACATTAGGAATGGAGGAATTCCTGCCTGATTAGTCGATTCTGGTAAAAAGGTACTGTGTTGGGGATTTACAATGTTGATTTAAACTCAGTGTCGAACTCCTTCATTAAAAAGAAATTTAGTTCCTACATTTTGAGTTCAACTGCCATCGGATACTTGATGTGCACGGTGATGCAGGAAGCAGATTGTTTCAAGGGTTGAAAGATAACTTTTTAAGATTTCCTCACATAGAAAAATGAACTTGTTTGATTGTTGGCCACACAGACCCTTCATGCAGCAGTCGTTCTGCTTTTCTTCCCTGTTGGATTTTCTCCAGAGGAATAGGGAAGTGTTGACTTTGATTTGGGACAGGTTTGAGCTGTGCCCACCAGTTGGTGCTTTTGCACCGTCAAAGACCAGGAATGTAAAACAGTGATCCTCCTTGTTCCAGCCCGATAATGCATCATTCGTGGATATCATTTTGTATTGTGTACATGTACATGTGGGCATAAGTGGCTTGAAAAGCTGTGGCGTAAATTTCAATCATGGTGGCTACTTGGTTTATAGTGTACACGTATGAAAGTCGACATCCGTAATAGTAGCTAAAAGTTCAAATGGAAATGGCTCACCCTGACATGGTTATGTAACCACGTACTGATTGCATGATGTCACCCATTCACTGGCGCCACCATGGCAACACTGGCTGACACACGCTTGCATGCGGAATCACGGACCGCCACCTAACGCCAACATTTTGGTTTCTGTTTTTTTTGTCTTTTTGGGGGGGGGTTCGGTTTCATTTTGGGAGGCCCTTTATTTTTTTAACGGTGTGTCTGTCATTGGTTTCCTCTGCCATCCTTATCTGGGGCAGCCTGCAAGTTTTTCTTGGCAACCGCTACATTGTAGTGTCAATAGAGGGCGCTGTAGGAATGTCTTTACTGAATACTTAATATAGAGGAAGGACACAGAAAAAGGTTGAACTGCCCGGGCTGTAACATCTGGCCAATTACCGCTTTCTGGCATGCCCTGTGTGTCCATAGCCAGAGCGCAGTGAGTGCTTGCTTCGCACCAACTGTTTCACAGCCACCAGCCGCAATTTTTCGCTGGTTATCTGTATCCTTAAAACTTTGTGTACTGAGGTATAGCAAACTGAATATGAATTCATGCCTTTGTTGGTGCTTGGTATGATCTCATGACAACGTCAAATGTAATGCTTGTGCAGTTGTTTGTTATTACACTGTGTGCCCTAAATGTACATGTGCAGTCATTAAACACTTTCTTCTGGAGTTATTTTGGGAATAAGTAGCCCCGTTGTTTACACTATTTTGTGCTTTGTTTGAATAATTTTGATTTGGGCTTATTTTACAAGATTTCATGATCACTCTCTATGATAAAATAGTGCATTTTGTTCCTTATGAACTCAGTTTTTCAGTAGTAGTCAACATTTTGTTGACCAGTCTTAGTCAAATTCGTACCAAGTCTCAGAAATCTGATGTATTGGAGGGAGGAGAATAAAATTACAAAACTTTGCATGGATTATGGAACAGTGTATCAACGTTGGAAAAGTTTAGTCACAATGGCAAAAGTAGGTCTAATATCAGGGATTTTTCTCTGTTTTTCCTGGTCAAAGCAATAATTTGTATTTAATTTCAAGCAAAACACTACAAGTATTCTTAGGACATTACTGGGCCCGCTTGTTTTCTATTGTTCGTCTGACTCGGTGGCGACGATCATTGAACACTTTGAAGTGCCAGAGTTGCAACTCCTGTGTCCTTCCTCTATGTGAATACCAAGTGTACTGTAAAATACTTCAGAGCAGAATTGGAATGGAAAAGCCGGAGAATGTGTACACAGGCATGTAACTTTTCCTCGGATCAGCTGATTTCCTCGTTTTTCACTTCACGCTCATGCCATTGAAAATTGAAAAGTACAAAGTCTTGTAAAGATTGGAATTTCCTCATTTTTTGTCCAAGTCCGAGTTGCATTGCTGTGTACAGATCAATTAATTCCTCAAAACACACCTTCATGTTCAATTTAACTTCGGATTAGTCTTTCCGTTGTCATCTCCAAGGTTGTCAAAAGGCTGACTTGGTTTTGTGCTGTTTGGAATAGACCTGCATGTAATTCACAGGGAAGCCACTTTTAAAATCTTGTACCCAGAACTTATAATAATTATTCAGTGTAAGCTGTTACACAGGTTAAGGCCAGACTATTTTGGTTTCCAACCCACAGTCTCAGTTTTGTTTTCTACTTGTGGCTTCGCATTTTAAAATCTATCACAAATTCTAAATTATTTGAAATGAAAACTGGCATGAATTTGTGCAAACGTTATTTCGTCGCTGTTATTTTTCCTGTCTGGTTCCCAGTATGTAAAGTTTTACTTCACTCCCAGTTCAAGATGGCTGACACATGCATACAGCCTATTTCCCAGTTGCCGAGCAAAACAATGTTTGGAAGCTTCATCAGTCAAACTGCGAGCATCGAAAATCACCTGACTTCAAGGCTTTGCTGTCATCAGTGTTGGCAGTAAGCTTGACCGTACAGGGCACTGGTTGTCGTGCTGACCAGTACACGCCAAATGCTGGCCACAAGCAGAGAAATATGTTTTTTTTAACTGTACTTTATTTACTGAAAAATTCAAAAGGAACAAACTGTAGTTTATGCATGTAGTACCTATAAGCCATGGCTATTTAATACAAGGGGCACATTGGGTAGCAAACTGCATGTACATATGCAGTTCAGTGAATAACAGTGAGTTCATGCGGTGCTGTCGCACTTGATCTATGTTGTAAATTCATATTTTTCCATCAACTGCAACTCTCACAGCGTTCATGATCAGTGATGTCTTGGCGCAGTCGTTTTCCTGTGAATGGTTCTTTGGTGCTGGTCCTTGAAATTGGCTAGTGACAACCAGCGTTGCCACCAATTGCAAGCCGCTGGGCCTGGTTCCAAACAGCCAACACCACGGTCCAAACCATTGATAATTCTGGCAGTGGCGTAACTAGGGCTAATGTCCAAGGGGGCACTCGGGATGGACACATTTTTTCAAGGAACTACAATGTACGTGTACCACAAGAAAAAAAGTTGTAGGCACATAGCTATAGAAACTCAACGGAGATTTCAAATGGGGGGTATCCAGGGGAGGGGGGTATCCAGGGGAGGGGGGTATCCAGGGGAGGGGGGTATCCAGGGGAGGGGGTATCCAGGGGAGGGGGGTATCCAGGGGAGGGGGGTATCCAGGGGAGGGGGGTTTGGGAATCTGCGTGCCCTCCTCCCTGTAGTCCCACTCCCCACCCCCGTAACCCCCGTAGTTACCCCAGTGAATTCAGGTGACAATAGCCAAACTCTTGTTGAGTCATCGCTTGAACTTGTCCATGGTTGGTCTGGTTTTTAACAGAGTTGATATTGGTAACCATGCTGACCTGAGGTAAGCCATAGGCCATTTCCAAATCGACTGGCTGTGGAAGGGAGTAACACACATGTATGTACATGTATTAAGGAAAGACAGCTGCAGCCACTTCTGGCAGTGTAGCCAAAGAAGGGATGGCAGAGATAACCAATGTGGATTAACCGATGATGTACATGTAACCCATTAATCAGCCTATTTAACCTGGATGCAGAACGTGGTTTATAAACTTGATTTACATGTACTTACAAGATTTAGTTACATGTAAATTAACCTGTTGGATTTATGTTAAATTTAAATATTGTGACTGTTAACTCAAATAAGAAACTTTGGAAAGATCACTTGTACCCAAGATTGAAATGGTGTCAGTTGTAACAGCATTCTGTTTAATTATAAAATGGGCACACAAGTTTTCTGTGTCTTTAGGTTTTCATTCAGTGTTTTTCAGGAAAGCCTATTACAAAAAACCCTCCTTGTCATGAATTGTAGAATTGCATGGCCACACGGCAGTATTACTGTCTGTTCATACTTGGTCGTACTTCGGCATTTTCTTTTTTTGCACACAGTTTAATGGTGCTTCTTTGTTTAACATGTCATGTTGAATATTTTACCCTGAGACGTGTTTCGTGTGCATGAGACGACCCAGTTTGTTTGTTTGTTTGTTTGTTTGTTTTTTTCTGAGGTGGAAGGGTGTGGTTGGGCTCACAGGTTAAATATTACTGTTGGGCGGAGTGCCTGCGTAGACTGCTTGGCGAAACTGTGGATGCTGAGAACCAATGAAGGATGCATTGTGTGCCGCCCTGGTTTTAGCATGTGTGCTTTGTTGAGAATGCCTGTTCAATTTCCAACAGAATGCGCACAAACCTGTAATTGCCTGTGTGTGAGAAGCATACGCACTGAGCATTAGCACCCTATAAAAAATGTGTCTGGGTATCTGTCTACTGCAGTAATGTTTATATTTTGGCCACTCGGGCACACTCACTATTTGTGCTGTTCCACGGGATGAACTTTATAGTGCACAGTAATCCTCAGCAGACGTTTTTAATGGGATTTTGTTTCTGAGGTGCAAATAACAAAACTTTTAATTTGTATTTTCCCTTTCTTTCTACAGGGCCAAGAAAGCCACGAGTACTGCACAACAATTGATCTGGAGAAGTACAAGATTGAAGACAACCTGCCCAAGGGGAAGAGTGGCAAGGTAATGTTGACAGTACACTGGACCTTGATACTTTGACCCTTGCACTTTGACCGTAAGACCTTCACTTCTCACACTGCAAAAAATACCATTGACAGATTGCATTTAAAGATTCAATGTGGCATTTGTTTGAAGTACATGCACGCAACATGAATTGAACATAAAACAAGTATGCGTGTGGCCCTAGACTAAGGCATCAGGACCAAGACACAATCAGAAGTTTTCTGTGGAGTGCACCTCTCAACGTTAAAAAAAAAAAACAACGATTCACTGGAGGGTTTCTGTCGGTTTGCGCTGTGCAGTGGAATTGGTGTTTCTGGCTGACGCCCGTCAACAACAACAACAATGACGACGTGTTCCCGGTTGAGATATACTGCAAGACGGAAGACATGATGCTGAAGTGGGTGGAGAGCATCAGGCTAGCACAGTAAGTCCTCGCGGAACACTGAGTTTGAGTCTCCTTTTTATCTGTCTTAGCCAGCGTTCAACAACTTGAGTATCCAACTTGAGTATCCAACTTGAGTATCCAACTTGGATGTGGAAATGAAAAAAAAGAGAAGGCCAAGCTGTGTGCTTTTACCTGGATTTGCTTGACAGAAGGTGGTGTCTGGTATACCTTAACTCACGTCCCGCAGAGCACCTAGATACTCTGCTGGCCGATACATTTATTAGATTTCATCAAAGTTTTGGCAGTAGTTCAGGTACATGTACGTGCAAGTCAACTTAAACCACACTTTGTTGCATAAGTTGCACAAGCTCACTTTATTTTGCCTTTGCCAAACGTCTTGCATGAAGACTTGACAGTACGTTGCTGAATATCCAATTCTTTCAATGAACTACATACTTTTGACACATTACACGTTAAGCGAGTTTAGTGAAAGGGTTGATAGCATCCCATCACATGCTTTTTTAACAGATCAGAGCACAGCCATCCAGCGTAAGTCCTACTTCTAACCGTACATCAGGATAATTTTGATGGAGTTTCATGTAGTCCTTTACTCATTCCAAAATAGAAAACCTACTCCATTCGTACATCAACTTCAATCCCTTGCTTTCTAAAAAAAGTGTCTCTCGCTTGTCTGTCTGTGTCGTTTGTCTGTGCAGGGATAACATCAACCCTGTGCCGAGTAGCCAGCATAAGTATGAGTATACCAGCTTCAGAGAGCCCACTTACTGTAAAGTTTGTGAAAAGCTTCTCCGGTGAGTTCTCTTGTGTTTTTTTTTAAAGGAGGCTGTTTATCTCAGATTTCACACAGTCTGTTTCAAGCGTCGCCCTTGATCTGTCCAAGTGTTGGATTTGAGATGTGCATGATGGTTGTTGTCCCCATTGTGGCCAATCTAACTTTATCTGGCTGCGGCTAGAAACAGCACATTCCCATGGGAGCCACCAGCTAGCGGCTACACGTATTACCCATAGTCACGTGCTATTTTCAGTCACAGCCAAGTAAGTCGGACACAGCTTCCCTACTGAAGTGCATCATCAAGTGGCCCCCCAGAGGCTGGCTACTACTCATTGTGGCTGTGTACAGATCAAGTGGCTGTGGCTGAGATATAACACGCGTCTGTGGGAAGGGGCTGCAGCCACTAGCCAGTGGCTTCCATAAGTGATTGTTACATGTCCAGCCATAGCCGCAACCTCTAGACACAGTCCAGATAATCCTGCAGAGCTTGGACATTATAATGCAGAGTCCTTGTTACTTGGTGCAAGATACATACCATTTTGCAATATCTGTCCGTGGATGTGGACTTTTTCCCCTGGATGAACTTCAGGTAGATAACATCTCATGAAGACTGTAGAACTCTGTTATGATGCTGTTTGTAAAATCCAGGTATTCTGAGTGGAACTATCAAAAATTACGTCAGAAATTTGAGACAAAATTTGCCTCAAATCCTTCATGGAAGAAATAAGTACAGAGAAGTGTTGAAAGACACCTAAGAGACCGATTGCGCCGGCTAAATCACGTTGCCTACAGTGGGTAGTATAGTACCCAGCACATCAGTAGTCTGAGTATGGTACCTACCGCGGGCTTTATTCTTGGTAAATGATACTTATGGAACACTTTGCTTTAGGTGGGCGCCGTGTTTGTTGATATTTTAATACCCACTGTAGGTCACCTGACTAAGGGGGTGCAGTCGGTCTTGTAACACCTAAAATTTATGACGCTTTTTTGTTGTTTTCTCCTCAACTTGTGTTTGATCGTAACGTTTCTTTTTTCGACTGTTTGTAGGGGTCTGTTCTACCAAGGCTACAAGTGCACCGCGTGCAGCATCAACGCCCACAAGGAGTGTCTGAACTCGGAGAAGATCCAGCACTGCACAGCGGCCAGGAGAATCAGTCGGCAGCCCCAGGGTAAGGGACATCGGGGATGCGGTAGGAGGGTAGCCTTCGGCGGAGTGACTTGAATATCTGAGCATATCCAGCCATCGGTTGTGCAAACTCCTCTTGACCTCCAGATTTTGACCAATCAGCAGTCCCGTTTCATTGGCCTTCCCTCAGGAAACTCGCTGTTATGCAGTGTTGGGGCTTTCTTGCCCATAATGCACTGCAAACTGTTACCTCTTGATAACCTGGCAGCCCCTTAGTGGCAAATTGCAGTACGAAATACTCCAGTTTTCGTTGTGTCTTTAAATTTTGGTACTTCTTGATTTTTTTTTTTACGTTGTTAGTAGCCACATAATTTAGGTGTGCAAAGTTAATTGAGAAATCTTGAATTGAGTCCAATTTGTTGTCCCTGAAATGACACAGTAAAGTTCGGCCTGTGACCATTTCCAGGTGTGCAAGTGGTGAGGGCGGTCAAGGTGTACCCGGGAACTCCCCGCCCACCCCCTGGCGTCAAGCCCCTTCTCTTTGAGAGGAACGACCTGATCGAGGTACTAGACAAGGACGACCCCAAGTGGTGGAAGGGGCGATCCACTCGAACCTACGAGCAGGGATTGTTTCCGGCCGACTACGTGGTAGGTGGCCCCCTCGCTCAATCTCAGGGAATTCTGTTCTTCAGCAGGGGAAGAGGGAGGTAGATTTCTGCTGTGTAATGGTTCCAGACACTTCTTAAAATCTTATGAAACACCACTTGTAAAGGGTACCTGTTGCAACATCTTCTTGTTTTGCTTGATTTATGGAGTTATTTTCCAGAGCCTTCAAAGTCCATAAGGAGGGTTTATTTTTATTTTAGAACTGTGCAGAATGATTTCAGGGTTCCTATGGTCACCGAAAAATTCTGAGAAAATAGTTGTCCTGGAAACGCACAGAAAAGTCATGGGATCTGTAGGCGGAGGGAAAACGTTACGGAAGTCAAAGTCATGCAAGGGTTATTTTTTGATGGGCTACTTTTGATGCCGTCATGGAAATGGAAATAAATAAATTTGCGGGCTGTATCCTTGTTTTTATTTGGAGGGGGGGTCAAAAAGAGAGAAAGCCCGTTACAACTTCACTGAGTGAACTCTTGTGTCAACTACTTACCGGCCAGTGAATTTTTAGTTGATTTTGTCCCCCAAACCAAATGGCTTTTTTGCCATTTTTTGATGCATTTGACTTTGCTCCATTACATATTTTGTGAGACACCTCATTTTAGCCCCGTGTATCTGGTACTAACTTCTTCATTATCCCTGCAAGTCAGTGTAGCTTTTCAGTGTCTGTTTCTTTGTAGTACTTTTCATATCGAAATTCTCCATTTCAGCTGCATTTGTTGAAACTTTTTTTTTTTCTGTCACACCTCTGGTCTCTCCTTACAATGCCCAAATTCCATTAGTTCTGCAATTTGCCCAATGAGAGTAGCCATTTGCATTATTGAGTCATTTCTCCCTACCAAGTAGAGTACTACATTGTTAGTGTAAGTAGCATCAGTGGGTACCGGTGACCGTACATGAATATGTTATGCAGTGTTCGCCTGGTACCCAATATCACGTCTGGTTTTTCCCAGGTACCGCAAAGACAAAGCACGAGCTCTCACCCGGTAAGCCGCCATTATGAGTAGCTATAGCAACTCCCAGATATGTACCGTACGGTGTATGCATGTGATTATGTGGACTACTCACCGGGCCACACTAACCCATTGACTACAGAGCACATACATGTATACACAGGTTCTATGCAAGGAGGTCACACTGTATGCATAAGAAACTTGGAGATCGTGGAGGACCGAGGGCCTCCGTACACACTAAACCAAACTGCTGGGCACCGTGCGCACCCACATGCACTACTGACACCTTTGAAGGTCGTGATCAGTAACACACCCTCTCCTCTCCATGCTACGGACCACCACCACATTTCCCCTTTTCTGATTTCAAAGAGGAGCTCAGCTCTCTTTCCGAATCATCTTTCTGCTGCGTGCTTGGTGCTCATTTGCATTGTTGCGTGCATTCCGTGCTTGGGAAGTGCTTGCCCCGCCTCACCATTTTGGCCGTCCGTGCTCGCTGCGTTCACTTGATATGGCACTTTTGCAAGGCCATTCAAGCGCAATTTGCTGAAGCTCTCCTGGACTCGTGTGCATTCGTCAACATGAGCAGACACTGCTGGTCATTGCATACCATATGTTACAGTCTGCAGGTGACAGTGCGAGCAAACTTTTGTGTTTTCCTTTGGAGGGGTCCATGCCGTGCTTGCTGTTCCTAGCCGTGTCATTCCCTGCGTGACACAGGTGTACCGCTCTTTCCTGTTCTTTTTGCCCTGAATGGTTAATCGCCAACGGTAGCCCCGCACCTGCAGTCTTCATGTAAAAATGACAAAATAGCTGGTTAGCCAGTCCAAGGTATACAAACAGGTGCAGCTAGGTGCTGGTTCCCAATCAATCCACTGGAATGTGAGGAGGGAACCAGTGCCAACCCCCCCCCCCAAAAAAATAGGGTAATAGGGAATACAGTTCTTCGCTTCTATTTACGTATATAACAACCAAAGGATATATCCAGATTTGTTGCCTTGGCAATCAGCGATGTGCACACTACTGGTGCCCCATGAGATACAATATCTAGAGATTGTGTTTTTACTGGTGAGGGCGCTGTTCGGCATACCCATGAACTCTTACAAGGCTGCTCTGGTCATGTCCAAAAAGCTTGGCCATGACTTGCGATAGCATTTGTCGCAAAGCTTAGCAGAAAGTACCTGAAACTGTATTCAAGAAAGCTCAAATCTAGAGCATCCAAATACAATGACACGGAAGGGTCTAAAATTCCCTGTCGTTGGTCATTCTCACAGCTCTGGTAGTCAAGGGGTTGGCAAGCATGCATTTCCATCATCCCTACATGTATGTCTCCCATTTCATTTTCACTATCAAACTGACCATTTGCTGGTGTCATAAAGAGGTCATAATGGTGACTCCCTTGTTGGTGGTATGGATGTGGTGAAGTACTCGTACATGTACGTAGGATGCATTGTATGTGCTCACTTTGTCCTTTTTAACCCCTTCACGTCGGGACGTGTTAAGACACACTGTAAAAATTGAGATCCTCAGCCCGCTTTTCAGCTATTATTCTCAGCCCACGCTCAATTGAACACGGTGAAAGAAGGCAGACCCTGGCTCTTGTGTATATGGTAAATGGTCTTTGTATGTAGCCCAGAAATGAAAAGACCGAATTTGCATCATAACCACCAGCTTCACAATAGTCCCCACGTTGAAAAGAGGCAACGGGAATGTGGAAGCTTGAGTAGAGCCGTATGCCACTGAACAATCAGCCTTTTCACCGTGTAATTCAAAGCGTGCAGAGCACGCTGGGCCTCAAACCGAGAATTTGCAGTTTGGCGGGTGGCCTTCGTGGCCAAGCGAGGCTGGAATTCTTGGAGTCGGCTTTCGGAAAGAAATTCCCGTCGAGAAGGGGTTAATGCATTTTTCGTTGTCCCCACAAAGTACAAGTACTTGTAGTTATGTATCCTTCAACTGTCCAAGGCTCATCCTGATTTGTAACAGCACCTTCACACTGTGTGTTTTGTTTTGTCACGAGCGAAAGATTATTTTATTGATACTGGTATTAGTCTTGCTAAAAAAGAATGCAGAAAACAATGCTCTGCTGATTTTCTTTTAATGCTACCTGGCAAAACTGTTGGTCTCCCTGTTCAAATTTTTACCTTTCATTTTTTCTTATGTTGCTATCAAGCAGCAGAGAAAGGGCCTGTAATGTCATGGAATCTGTTTCTAAGAAATATGGTACACCCCAAAACAGATCTAAGTGATCTGACAGGTACCGATGAATTTGCAACAATACAGCAAAATGGGCAAGCACAGCATTAGTTTGCCAGTAGGGCCTGGTTGCTCCTCTGCCCTGTTACAGAACGCTGAAGTGTTTTCTCCTAAAAGCAGGGTTTCATGTTGTCAGAAAATTTGGTGTTTCTACTCAGGTTGCCAGAAACTGTTCGAATACAAAATGTATGCGCTGTTTTACATTACTGCCGATGTATATTGCATCTGAATTGAAAAACCCTGTTTTTTGTGGCATGAAAGTTTTGTTTGGGAGCTGAGCGTGACTAAATAAAATGAAATAGCTAGTCGTTTCAGTGCTCTAAGGTTTCAGGATCAGCAACGAGTTTACATAATCAGCACCTGCCCTGCTGAGGGCAATGTCCAATCCATCTTGGATCGGTTTATCGCCACATGTGGCAACTTCCAAGTCGCCGCTTATTTACAGAACGTGACACAGTTACTGCTGTAGTCGGCATTAACCTCCATGTTCACGCACATCTTTTGGCCGTTTCCTGCCAAAACTACCAAGGATGATTTCATTTTCAGGATCTCCCTGGCAGGGTGAAAATAGGCAAATTCATTTTTTGAGCAGAGCGCCGTCTCTAACAAGAGTCGGATCCGATGATAACATGACATGCTTAAAAATTACTGTGATTTTGTAGAGTTTTACAGTTGAGGTCGGAATCATCTGTCCTCCTTCAACTGAACAAAGCCTTCAGTTTGTCCAGAAGAGTGTTTGTGGCTTTGATTTCTTCAAAGTTTAGAGATAACTGACGCGAAACTGTGTATTTCTGATGGATAAGACCAGTGAGCAGAAGCAGGTCAAATCCAGCATAATGGACATGACATTCAGACAGTTTTTTGTAATTCAAATCATCGCACAGTAGACTTGGAAAACTCCAAATTTTTATTGAGGTAATCAGACACATTTAACTATCAGTGACATACAGTGTTTACACACTAAATTTTGCACAATTTTATTGAAGGGCTGTAGAGAAAAATGCACTCATCGTGAGCCTAACGGACATGACAGAAGTGAACATTTATGGGGTCGTGCCAAGCGGGTGACCCTTCACATGTGTGTGTGAAATACCCCCTTGACCAATACATGTAAGGTATCATAATTTGCCCATATTCCTGTTCACCTCGAGTTTAAGAGAGCACGCTTGAGTGTCATGCCACCTCGGTGATAACGTCCCCATGAATTAGTGTCTAGTTCTGCAGAATCATCTCAGTTTTATGTGTTCAGATTTAGGCCAGGTAGTCTGTCAATCCAACTTTCCAGCCGTCAGCAAAATGATGACAAGTAATGAAATTGTCACATTACAGCTCCTAAAAAAGTGGTCTGGGTTCAGAGCTCTAAGGCTCAAGGCTGTGTCCTTGTTATAGTTGCTTTTTTGAATTGGCGGGCTGCTTGACGTGAAATGTAATTTCAAAGAGGTACTCAAGAACTGAGGTACTCCCTCTCATAAGAGCAAATCACTTTCACCAATCTGGTGATGGACATCAAACGAGGGCAGCTAATACCGTTCCTTCTTCACCATGGCTTGGTTTAAAATTTTGTTTCTATGTCAAGCGTGGTTTCATTTCTGTGTTGGTGTGGTGGTATCTACAAACCGAGAATTTTCAATCTTCTTTCTTTTTTTAGTGTTTGTATCTGTTTGCACCTTGAGAACCATGTTTGCTGTTAAAAACAAAACAGTAAATGCAGCATAAACACGTTATGCTATCTTGAATAGGCTTGGGTGACTTTGCACCAAAATCTAATAGTTAACGTAATTCCAAGCTAAGCATCGGGAGGGTGACTCCACTTTGGATGGCATTGCATCTCTACGGATAGCCTTTTGTTCTCCCAAGAGTCAATTCTGTTACCACTACACATTTCTGAAGACAGACTGACTCCATTCCTACGAGGAGTAGTTTTCACGTACAGTGTAGTTGGGCAAAATGGCTTGCAGTGCAGAACCTGGGGAGCCAAGCTGTTTGTGTCTGTGAATACCATGATTTCAAAATCAATGGCAGACAGTAATGAGGGAGAAATTCATGTATGTGTTTGGCCAGTCTTTAAAGGATCCATGGAACGAGTTTTTCTTAGAACCATTTTTGTGTGTGTCTCTGTACTCTTTTTAAGTGCATGAAGACTGTTTGTCTTTTTTTTTTGAGTCACGTGAACTGAAAAGTGCACTTTTTAAACATTCCAAATTGACTAAGCGTTTCTGGACAAGTGAGGGCGCTTTCCTTTGATGTAAATCAAGGAAGACATGGTTCAGTTTGCATGTTTTCATGTTCAAATTGTGAACTCCAAGTTTGCTTTCTGGAAACATTACTGTGGAAAGGATGCTTGCTGGCTTCTTGCCATATACTTTCACAATAAATTGCCAAAGTAAATGAAATCTATGATGGCAGTGTTTAAAAAAACCGAGACATTTTCTGCGTACAAATCAGTGCAACTTTGAGGCTCGATGCCGTGAATGACATAGTTTTGCTCATGAATATGCAGATGTGCATTAGCGTAAAACCCAAAAACTCCAAAATATGGGTTAAAATTGCAAAAAAAAAATTTTAAATCAGGTGAATTGAAACTCGGAGGTGCAATTTCAAGGGTTTAAGTACAGTTTAATAAAATCTTTCTGTTTCATGGTCCCTTTAACGTTTAAGACCGGATCCGGAGAATGGATGCTGATATTGTCCAAGGAGAAGGAGAGGGATTTTATCAGTGTCCATTCATTTAAGACTGGCCAAGAACATATTCATTCCCACTCATAAATACCTTTGGAAATGCTACTTCAAAACAAGTTTTACAAATCCGTAAGTTTCAACCATTTTGTGCAACGATTTTACTTCAGTTTTTCCAACATCCCTTTGGCCATGTTATAGTATATTCCTGTCACGAGTTGGTGTAAACAATCACCTTTATACATGTATATGGAGATTGGCGCACATGTGGAATATACTGCTTGATCAAGAGTTTGAGAATGGGCTCTGTCTGTCTCTGTCCTAACTGTCTTAGGCATTAATGAATTGTGATTAAGGAAGCAATTATACCTCACAACATTGTATTGACAGGTCACCAAGATGGTGGATGGTGTCCCATTTAGGGAGGGGGGTGTTTAAATATTGTATAAATGGAGTCCAAATCCAAAGGATTCTTACTTCAGGATGGAATCAAGTCACCCAAGCCTACTTGTTTCATTAGTTTGTGGTATCAAACTTGCGGGGCTGTGGTTACCAGGGCTGTGGTTACCAGGGCTTTGGTTACCAGGGCTTTGGTTACCAGGGCTTTGGTTACCTGGGCTGTGGTTTCCAGGGCTGTGGTTACCAGGGCTGTGGTTACCAGGGCTGTGGTTACCAGGGCTGTTCTTGCAATGTACATGCTTTTACACGGGCTCAAATACATTCCCAGCTCCCTTTCAGGTGCTGGCTTGAATATTATTTGGGGGATATGTGCTAGTTGAATCCTCTCAAACGGCCTCACAGTCACAAATCTTATGCGGTGCCAGTCACTGTTGACAGTTTGACCCCTCACCCTTCACAAGTCCTTTCAGGAGACCAGTCGTTAGTGACAGTATGGCACAGGGATGCGTTTATCAGAGTTCATTTGAGGAGTCTGTGACCGGGCCTGAAACTGGAGGACTTGTGGTGGACCTTCGGGCAAGAACTTGTGATGGGCTCAACCACAATGCAGTCAACTCAAACCTGAGTTTCACAAAAAGAGGAGCTGGTTACGTTCTTTCTGGTGCATAGTAGAATTGAAGATCCAAAAAGTACTTAGGACTCATTTTGTCGGATCCAGTCACATTTTTTCTGATTAAGAATGTCTGCAGCATGGATACAGTACTGTGAGGGTCAGGGGTCAACACTTCATGGCTAACTGTTTAATTCTCTTCTTGAAGAGTTACTCTGCACAAAAGATTGCACAAAAGATTGCATTATGTAATTATCAAGGTGGTGGTCTACCCAAATGACATGAACCTTAGTTTGATAAAACAGGTCGTGTGTTTCATTTCTTTTGGTCTTTCTCTTTTGGTTTGTTCCCGACAGCGTCCAAACTATGAGATGACAGTGCCCCAGGGTAGCCCCAGCCACATCAGGCAAAACCCCAGCTCCAGCTCACGGAATCTGCTGGATACACGGTGGTAGGTCCCCTTGGTTTTTGCTGTCTGGCTGGTTTCGCTCCAAAGGTTCCACGGTCGCGGAATGCCCTTGGGGAAAAAATGCTTTCGTGGCTAGTCTTGGAAAAGTCAAGGCACATGGAGAAAAAAGTAGGACATTGTAGAATCGCATTGTCAGAGGCAAAAAAAGTCATGGAAATCAAGGTGGGGCAGCGGTTATTTTTGATGGGCTGTTTGCCTTTTTTGATGTGATATTGGAACTGATACATTTATAGGCTGTTTCCTCGTTGGTCAGTAGTAGGAGCTACGACCATCTTCAGTTTATAATACCAGATTTTTTTTCGGCAGAGGGCGGCATTGAATTCCATGGAAATTGTCACATTTTACTCCTTGAAAGTCCTGGAAAAGTTCCGGACTTTGAATTCTAGGTTTCTTTGAGAACCCTGTCCCTTTTACCATCTGCCAGCAGAATGTCTCCAGAAATGGGGATAGGAGGGTTTTGCAAAACTCTGTGGAGAGATGTGTCGGGAGACAGAGACTATGAGCCAAAATTTGGGCTGCGACCCAGGCCTGAGAAAGTGAATCAAAGTTGATGCTGAATGGAATGCAAGCAAATGTATTCCTTCATCCCGAAATGGCTGTTTTTGTACTTTTAGAACCGGGAATGAAGTGTCAAATTATACGAATGGTGAACTATTGACAGCATGAGTCCTTGGGTTATTTTTTTCTGGGGGGGAGGGGCACGGTATCTCAGTATGAGCCATTGTCATTGCTATTTTGTAGTTTGTAATTTTTAGTGTCACCCTAGTTGTCGTCTCCGTTCTGACACTGCCTGCATTATCTTCACCAGGTATGTGGGTAAGATGGATCGTCATGTAGCCATTGAGCAACTCAAGGACAAGCAGGACAGCTGCTACCTGGTGCGTGACAGCGTCAAGGAATCAGAATTTCAAACCCACGCCATCAGTATCAAGTAAGGCGCCAGAGAATTGCCCACTTTCAGTTTTTTTTTGGTTGCTTCTGTCATGGGCAGAGAACGCAGAGGCCATGCCGATTTTGCTCTCACTGTGTCCGAAGCCTACTTTGGTTTGTACACAAAAAAGTTCTGTACTTTTGTAGATTTTCCTGAACTTGGTTTTCTCTTCTTTGCCGATTCATTGTTGTTCATGCGCATAGTAGTTAGAAAATGTCAATCCCTCTCTCAGAGATGTTTTCAGTAGGTAAATTCTGGGTTCACTGTTTGAACAGAAACACCTATGCACTCAACCATGTCTTCCCTAGATGATGTCACAGCAACAGCACCCTCATTTGCGTGGATAATTGTAACTGTTTAAAAACGTACACTTTTCACTGCATTTAAACAAATTGGAGTGCAAAAGAGTTTTCATACGACGAAGAAGAGAACAAAGATGCAGACAAATTGTGTTAAGTACAAATTCATTGCAGCTGCACTTCAAGTGCCTGTGCTTAGTCCGTAGGAAGATGTTTTATTTATGCAGAACAAGAAGCACGCTGTCCTCTCAGTGATAAAGTAAAACACGACTAGGTGTACGTGTTCCTGTTGATGTTTGGGTCTTGTGTTTACGTTGTACAGGCACGACAACCAGGTCAAGCACATCAAAGTTCTCTACTACCTTGGCAAGTACGGTCTGGTGGACAAGGACTCGTGTGACTTTGACACCTTGCCGGACCTGATCATGCACTACTCCCAGAACAGCCTGCGGGACGTGTTCAACGGCCTGGACTCCACCTTGAAGATTCCGCTGCGGGAGCGCACGGGCCACGCCAACTCGGTCTCCCAACGAAATGGTGAGTGTCGACTGGACACCCAGCTGGTAACCAGACTCACCACCCATTGATCTACGTGCAGTATTTGTAGATGTGGGGGCATTCGCTACTCACGAGCATTCCAGTGCACATTGTGTGAAGCACCGAAGCGCGACATCATTTTGAACCAGGCAGCGTAGTGCAGACAAATGGAATATGTGGGCTTGTTGGTTCGTTGCTGGTTCTTGCACTTGTGCTCTTTACACACAGAACTGTGGGCCCGATGTATTCACTTCAGTACTTTATATGCATTAGAATTATGGAAGTTGAAAAACAGAGGGCAGTAGGGTCAACAATTGGTTATACATCCATAACTGACGATCAACAGAGGAGAGGTCTTTCAAAAGAAATTTCTGTGCAAAACTTGTGTGAAATGTTGCCATACTCTTACTCTTGGATAAGTCATGAAATTTGGTTTTCAGATTTCTGTTGCCACCCTGAATTACAGTGAACAAATTTGTTTTTCCTCCTAACCTTCCATGTTTGTTTGTGCAGGTCCGTCCACCAATGACAGCCCCGTCAGTAGGCAGAGGCCCAGCCCTGCCCCTGAGCAGAAGGTCAAGCGCTACACAGTCATCGGCACCGCGAGGGCGCTCTTCCCCTTCACGGCCCGGGAGTCGGGCGAGCTGCCGCTGCAAAAGGGCGACCATGTGGACATCATCAGCAAAGCCGGCGAGAGCCGGGGCTGGTGGAAAGGCGCAGTTGGCGGACGGGTCAGTCCCTCTTTACATTCTTCTCGGACTGCGCCGCGGCATTTCATAACATGGTTGTCTGCGACACAAAACACAGAAAAGGTTGCCAGTCACGTCACCAGTGTTTCCCCTGTGGTTATGAACTTCTGCGAGAACTTCAACACCCCAAAACACATTACACTCATGAGCAGACATCTGCAGTTCAAATAAAATAGTAGAGCCTTTTATGTTCTTAACAAGTTGTCATTCCCTTGTGCCGCCAAAATGGACGGAACCAAATTTACCTGTCTGTTTTGACCTGAAAATGGGCACCGATTTCCAGGGGATCTAACGGCTTGTCGGCGTGCTATAGTGTATTGTGAATGTCATCCACTCTAGTTTGATTACAAAGTGAAAACACTCACCTGTTAAAAAAAAGTGTGCACTCTCACATTGAGATCGCAGAGGTTTTCGAATGAAAGTCTGGAACAACTTTTGCCATTGTACCTTACACAACTGTCAAAGGCGTCATGGAAGTTCTTATCTCTTCTTTTTTTCCTTTCAGATTGGATACTTCCCTTTGCAATATGTTGAAGAAGAAGAGTGAAGGAGCTGTCTTTCTACTTAACAGACCACCAGCTTTCCAGGAACTAAAAAAAAAATCTCTTTTGATAAACGGCACCCAGCTCTTGATATTTCCTCTGAAAACCTGTCCCGGAACCTTGCTCATCGAGGTCAGTGCTTACGTGTGAATACACCACCAGCCTTCTCTTATCTACTTAGTGGATGAGACATCTGGACAGCGGCAGGAGAAAGGTCAAGTCTCAAGTGAAAGCATGTACAAGAGTGCAGTGGGTATGTCTCCGCTGTGTTGGCACTGCCGTGTTAACCCTGTGGCAGAGCTCTCCAAACCCTGCTGGAAAGCTTTCTCATCTTTGTCGGCTGTGCGGTAGAGCCATCTCATCTCTGTGGCAGAGCCTTCTCGACACCGTGGCTGAGGCTTCTACGAGATACGCAGTACAGCTTCTGAGTTACTATGACCAGATTGTTGCTCATGTAACAATTTCTTCTACGTGTCACAATGCAAATGTGTGAAAAATTCATCCTGAAACTTTGAGAGTCATACTTTCACTTTCAGACTACCTCTCCGTTTCCTCCACTGTTGGCCCCCCTTCCCCGCAAATGCAAGCTCTCAAAGCCAGTTTCTGGCTTTCCGTCCTGTTTGTTCCAAACTTACCACATGAGCTCATCAGTGCAAACTCCCGTGGAAATCACCTCGTGCCTTGACTTCCATCAGAAACAGGACGGGCCTCTTCTGAAGTATACTTCAGAGAAAAGAGAGGCTCTCTGTTGACAGAGATCACACGACAAGTTTTCCTCACTTCCAAAAACATGTTCTGCAGCAAAAAGTGGTCAAGGTAACACACCCTTCCCTCTTTGGCTTCCCATATCCCTTAAAACAATTGTCATGACGCACGTTTTGTCAAGCGACAAAGATCCAACGTGCCAGGTCAAGTGGTTGGCCCAAATGTCTGATACAAGGGGCTTTTCAGAATCTTAATATTCTGGCATCACGATAAGTAGCTGCTGACAGGTTATCAACAGTGTGTGAAGACAATTACATGTATTTAATTTGGTCATAGGAAACAGGAGGAATTTCTATTTCCTCTTTACGGAACGGACTTCGTGCATTTATAAACGAATTTGCTATTGTTTTAAATTTCAAGAATGTTTGTGTGATAAACTAAACTTTTTTTTTAGGCATTCGTTTCCTTAATTATAAGCATACATGTACTTTTTGACCAACCACAGGAAGCCTGTGTCAAAGCTCAAGGTTTATCAAGCATGCACTTCAACTGAAACAGACGCCTCAAAAAGTGTACATAGATGCATGGTTGGCTTCATATAGGAATACATTAATTACATTTAACGTGGTTTATTTTAGGTAACAATCGCAGAATTGAGGGTCTTATGTCAGATAATTTCAAACCAATGGGAAGGATCTTTTTTCAATGAGTCAGGTTTTCAGCGGATGGGAGTTGCACCAGTGTGAACGAAAAAAAACCCTCAAAAATGCGCAGTGGTTTACTAAGTTATGGCTGTCTGTTTAATGTTGAAATTACTATGCAATTTATGTTAATTTTTGTTTTTCGGAAATACTCATTATACTGAGTACTTCACAGACTGCGTGGCACCAGAGGGGATATTTTTGCCTTTGCAGTTCTCCCTTGCTCACCAATAGGCTTCATGATTAAACGTCACGATTTACAGAGCAAAGGTTTCAAATGCATTGTAGGGTTATTTTAATAACTTACATGTAACATGCAAGTCTGCTTGTCTGTCAGTATTGCCGAGTCGGTACCCAGTCCATTGGTTGAGGCCTTGTGTTGCTAATATTGGGGAACTGGTTCATGCCCCACTTTGAGTGTGGTCATTTATTTCAACATAACATACAAGAATTTTCCTTTAACGGATTTAAAATGTACGATTTTAGCCATTTTACTTTCCTCCGGGAAGGTTTGATCCTGCTGTGGTTTCCTCCTCCACAGTGGCCATGTTTGATCAACGACCAATTGCCACTCAGCAGTTAGTTTTGACAGGTAGCCCATGCGTAAAATATATCCCGGGTACCAGGCAAAATTGACCAGTAGTTGGCAAACGGTCACTGATCAAACCTGGGTCGTGGGGAATGAAGCATTGCACTGCTATCTTAGTTTTGGAGGTTATAAAGGCTGAAAGTAGCTTTTGTTGTTTTACAAGAGACAGTGCTTAATTTTGGTGTCTTGTTTTTTTTTTTCTCAATTTTTATTGCTTTAGTGATGTCCTCCTCTCTTGGCTTATCCTTATGAATTTGATAGGTTGCAATCTCATGCCTTGGAAACGGCTGTCTACTCAAAAACTGTGTGTATTGTATATTACAAGACCGTGTATTATACAGGGATATCAAGTTATTCAAACACTGCAGAACTTTGCAACAAATCCCAACGATGAGGAGGAAAGAAGGCCAAAAAAAAAAAATTGATGGTGCTGCTTCTGGTGTGACCTGGGGAGGTTTTTTGTAAATGGGTAATTCCAGAAATTAATTAGGGGTCCATTTTTTTGTGTCCCTGTTACATCTAACATGATTTTGTAAGTTCAGAACACGTTTTCTAATCTCCAAGAGTGATGAATCAATGCAAATATCTGCCAAACAAATTGTAATAGTTTCAAAACAATTCCGCTGATATTTCCATGGCAAATAACAAAGGTCAGATGTAACAGGGACAGGAAAATGTCACACTTTCAGACCCCTGATTTCTGGAATTACCTAAATGGGCAACGTTTGCACGACTGCAAATGATACATATCAAGACCAAGAAAGGCTGAGACTTTTGCCGGGCTTTCTAGCAGAATACGTGTTGAGAGCCTGCATTTGACAAAGCCTTCATTTACTCTTGTTGAGACAATGTGAGGCTCAGACCGATAAGAACACAAAATGGCTATATCATGAAGGGTGAACCACGTGGAAGCATGTAGTGCTGTCTACGTGTATTATTAACCGCATAAAGCCAAGAGTATTTTACGGCGAGCCAAACTCAGCCAAAAACCCACAATTTTCAAACGGAAGACAAACATGTGCATCAACCAAATTTGTCAACTAGCCCAACAAAATAAATTGAAAGCCATCACAGCTACGTTTTAGTTGGTCTTTCAAGAATCTTGCAGAACAAAAACCAATGGAAAGTATCAACTTTCACCCTCTTGTCTCAACTGTTATCGGGATGCCAAATTGAGTGATACATCAAACAGAGTGCCCTGTGCACTCTAATACGAACCGTAAGTTAGGAACCAAAAAGAGGCCTTAGGACTCATTTTGAGGGATCTGGTCACCTTATGAATAAAATTAAACACTAAATATACCTGCAGAACTTACTAAATATGTTGAACAGAACTTGACGGCTCAAAGCACCTGCAGTGAAATTTGCTTGAGTTGAAATGTGCTTACCTTTGCCAATTCCGAGTACAAGTACAAACGTATTTGACCTGATGTTGCAAGTTGATGTTCATGTTTGGTCTCATGCCTGGTATGAACCAGCTTTTAATCCCAGTTTGGAATTGGCCAGACTTCTTACGTTTCAAGATATGTATGCCAGTTGATAAGATCCATTCCCTGCTGACAAGCCTGCATGTTCTGAGCCACAATTGCCCATTCAAAAGGAAAGAGCAACGAGTCATATACTTATTTATCTACTTAATAAATCATACCAATTAAAATTGTGATAAAAAGAGGAACTGTACATCTGTAAATTGTGCACCGGTAAAATTTTTGAAGCGATTTATAGCCTATTTTTGATGACAAAGGTAACTATTTAAGCTGTATAAAATAGAAAACAAATACGCAGGATATCGGTAAATGGGAATGCAGTTGTAATTGAACTATGCTTCAGACGTAATGAAGCAGTTGACTGTATTATAGTATTAATGCTCCAAGTGTGTAAAACAATTTGAATTTAAGAACTTTACTTTTTTTTCGTCTTTTCATAAGGTTTCACTTCTTGCTTGTATTTATTACAACTCAGAGCTATCATTACACCTGCATTAAAACATACCTCCAGAAGATGATCAGATAGAAGAGGGATTTTTTCATTCAACTTTTATCTTTGCGGTCAATTAAAACTGAATTCAGTGCTGTCTCGTTAACCTTGACCTCCTTGGATGTGGGTAGGTGGGAAATAAATAATTCCGATATAGGAAATTGATGACTGTTTGGGTTGAAACAATGACGAAGATTAGAGTCTAAGGGTGAATTCAGTCAGCGGACTTCATCTTTGTCCAACTCTTTTTCAGCGCGGTCACGAATCCTAGCCACTGAGTGGTGAAGGGTTGGCCTACTTGCTGTTTGACCCTCCAAAAGCTTTGTTGGGAGCTAGGGCTATGTCATTGCTGGTCACAGATGCACTGGCACCTGGCAACTGATGTAGCCGTAACTCTGAAACCTGACTTCGAATATAGCTTCATTTTGTTACTTCTCAAAGTTGTTGTGTGAAAAAAACCTTAGACCACACTAAAAACCAAGGATTATTTTATGCACCAGCAAACAATCATGTCTTGATGATTAGCAATTAATTTGAGAGTTTTCACACCCCGTAACAGTTTACCCCTTTCAGGCATTATTTGGAAAACGTTATTTCAGTGATCAAAGCTCTGTTTATTGTATTAAGAATTGAAATATCAACACCAAAAAGGTGTAAATTAATTGGTCAAAATATCAATCCAGTTGGTTTTGACAGAGAACTTTACTGCCACTTTTATGTGAGACTCCTGTGTAACCATTGGGCCAACTGAGGCAGACATTTTTGTCTAAAGTTGTAGATGCCGAACAGAAACTGGAATAGATGGTTTAAAAGGCCAAATTCTAGATTACAAAGATGGCCATTATGTCAGGTCATACATCACTTCCTGTCATTGTCCAAATGAATGCGTCTTTAAAGGCCAATGCGTTAGAAGCTGTCCCTGGCCAAAGAAAACGAGGAGCATGTGTAATATGTTTAATGTAAGGGTTTAGTTGTTCACCACTGTTATTCAGTGAGGACTGTTTATAAACATTGGGAAACTGTGTAATGGGGAGATACATCCTCGGCCAAAATAATACGATGCATGTATACAGATGTAACTGTTATACGAGTACATAACAACCGTTTACTTTTGAATAAGTGCTCTCATGTTGCTGAAGCGTGTGGAGAAAACCCTGTGGATGTTGACTGTGTCTGCCGCCATTTGGTCATGTTTTGCATGCAAGTCCATGAACGGGAAAGCGAAGGTTAATTATGAGAGTAGTAGTTTGGTGCCTCATGGCGAGGCCTGCTTGCAGTGGTGTTTTCTGTGCAGGCTCTGGAAACATGACCAAAATGGCCTGCATCTGAAAAACCCGCTCAGCGTTTACTTCCAAGTATTTATCATTATGCTTTCATTTCATTTTGTACTTTATTTTTTATCATTATTTTGGTATCTGTTAATTTTGTTCTGGAAATTCTTTCATATGTAAATTGTGTCAGAGAGGGATGTATACATGTAGTTACATAGATAAGTCAGAATATGATAATGATGGTTAATGTGAAACATTCTAGAGAAGCATTGTGTTTGTACAGTTCCCGTTGGGAAGGTGTATTAATGTCAAAAGCAGGAAGGTGGCCTGTGTACATGAAATGAAGGGTCACGTTTTGTAAAAAAGAAAAAGCGAAAAAGAGGAGGGGTTAGTTGACAGTATTTAACAGCATTTAAGACTCGGCCTTTATAGAATGAATGATGTAGTCAATGGTGTTTTAACCGGGGAGACTGATTTTGTCCTCTTTTTTTTTTTTTTGTTAAAAGCAAATGGGTACTTTCCCATTGGAAAAACATTTGAACTATAGCTACAGAATTGGTTGCATTATTGCAATACCATTCACAATAAAGATGGGGTTGCATATTGGCAGATTCAGCGTGGGACAGAAGTTTCCAAAGCCAAATCAAGATGCTAATTGAGGCAAAATTGGGACAAACCCGGGTCTGCAATGATGAAACCATTTTCTGGTTTCCCACCTGACCTACCCTTTCTCAGTTAATTGTGGGTTTTCATATTTTTGCTTTGCTGACATTATATAACTTTTTTTTTTTTGGCAAGAGAACTTTCCTTAATTTTTTTTTCTTGAAGGTAATTTCAAAAGCCTGCATGAACTGGGAAGCTCGCCTCAAATTCACAGACTTGGTTGGCAGATCATTGCTCAGCAGGCTCGTCTGCTAAGCAAACACCAGCCAACAACCAGTAAAAACAGATGCACATTGCTTGTATCTCGATCCAGTGGCTGGTATCCTGTGCTTTGCTCCTTGCCAAGCAAACATTTTCTGGACTTACCAAATCTCTCAGTGCTCAGAGTTGGTTTGCCAAGATTTGTAGGGTTACCAGCCGGAATGTCATTTACTTAAGCTGTTTGCGACCGGTGCTCATGTAGGGAATTTACTGAGCTATATTGCTGTGGCTTGAAATCTTGCATTAGTCTATGGCTGTAGCCTCTTTTCCCATGTGCCTAATTCCAAGCCGCAGCAAATTTAGACATGGCCTGTGGTTTTTCTCCCAGATGTTTTTAAAATCATATTTGCATTTTTGTAAATGTAAGTTTCTGCAGTGTGTACGCATTTTTTTTATCTGTTCACTTTCCTTTGTCCGTTGGGAATCATGTATCTTCGGTAACAAAAACAGTCCTGTATCCCACCGGAATTTGAAAACTTCATCGCTGTTTCACTGCCCTTTTCTCTGTGCATTATGAACTTACATGTACGTGTACATAAAAAGCAAATTGATAAGGGATGGAGATGTCATGGTGATCATGACGTGAAGCGTTGCAAAGTTGGCCGTGTCAGCTGTGAATATGAATTGAATGGACTTCCAGAATTTACTCAGAGAAAAAGAACATAATTTTGTTACAGGGGATATGCACAGTAGCAAAGGTTGCATCCATTGAGTTTTGTGTGATGTGGAATTTTTGATCAAGATTTTTGTTTCTTTCTGTGACAAAAAAAATAACAGTTTGAAGGATTTTTGTTTCTCAGTAAAAGACTGATTTACAATAAAAAGAAAAGCAATGTGAATACCAATGTTTTCTGAGTGTCGCCATATGTTTCCGCCCGTCAAGTGTCATTTGTTTGTTTCAGTTTTCTGGACATAAATTGTATTTGACTTCATAAGTTAATATTTTTGTCACACAGATTCGTGAAAATGCTTGTTAATCAACGTCTTGATCATATGAAAGATGATTTAAGCCCTCCAATGTTCACTCTCCTAATGCTGTGTTTTGAATTCTGTCAATGCTTGCTCTATTCTTAGAAACAGCAGCATTGTAATATCATTAACCGACGACAAACTGTACAGTGTATTAAAGTTCACTGGCCTAGGGGACGATGACTGGTGCGAGTCTGGATCTAAATTCTGACAGACTGCGTTTTAATAGGACGCCCTCTGTAGCCAAGAGCACACACACACACGTACACCTGGGATGTCCCGTACAAGTTTATTTTTTCGCTGCTGCATGAACGAAAATGGCTGAAACACTATCCCCGAAGTCAAAGAAACGACAGACAGGGCCCATGAAACGACCGGCTGAAACATCGAAGGTAAAACATGTGGCTGGTTATCAGGGATTCTCAAAGAATACAAATTTTAGTCTAAGCCTAGGGCCAAGTGAGCATGGTGGAATTAGGGGCACGGTTAGCAGCTAGCAGGTCACTGGTCACGACACTGTGTCACGTGTCTTGGTTTACTCTCTCGGGAGGTTTCTGATATACTTGTAAAGTGGAAAATGTAGCCTATGAGGCCACTGCATTCCTTTTTTTGTTTGATAAGTGATCATGGTGATAATAACTTGTATTGTTTGTTTAGTTACAAGACTAAGAAATGATATTTATGTGCATCTCAAGCTCATGAAGCACGTCAACGTGAACATGATGAAATTGCTCAATAGGCTAATCAGAATAGGCTAATCACCTCTCCATGCTATCAGACATAATCTGATACCAATGTTGTAACTGTGCTGTGAGCCCTGAGGACCAAGAGAGGCGCAGGCTCCCTTGATAGGATTGCGCTTCTCCGGTTCACAAATGATAATGAAATGCATGTATTTATATACAATCGCAACAAAATGAGCAACCCTGACCAATATGGTTCACTGCAACCGACAAGGGGTTGCTTCCTCTCAAGGCGGATTAGACAGTCTGCACAGTCGGCTGTTCACGTAGTACTGTTCTCCTCTAGCAAGTCTCCAACTTTACTTCACTTTTTTCAAACTGATCTTCTGGAGGTGTGAATGAGAGTGGTACCATTAAGGTGATCAGCTGATGGAAGAACGATCCACAGATGATGCCGAACGATCGACCAATAGCACAATGATCACATAGTCCTGCAGATCAATCTGTCAAGGTCAACAACTACCTCAAAACTTTGCTCAACAAAATGTCCACACGCATTCAGATTTCTTCAATTTGTCATTTATTTGTTACAGCCAAAGGAATGGAAAAAGTGGAGGGATGACAGTAAGTACAGTTGTTAGTCATTGTCTGGAAAGTTGCAATTTTTGACCAACGTTCAACGTTCAGTATCCTGACACCAAATATTTCAGCAATGACCAGTCATTACATTTGAGAAACGTTTCTGGTTGTGTCTGAAAAAGAAAGCTTTTTTAATTTTTTTTATTTGACACCAAATATTTCAGCAATGACCAGTCATTACATTTGAGAAACGTTTCTGGTTGTGTCAGAAAAAGAAAGCTTTTTTTATTTTTTTTATTTGACACCAAATATTTCAGCAATGACCAGTCATTACATTTGAGAAACGTTTCTGGTTGTGTCAGAAAAAGAAAGCTTTTCAGGATTACCCATAGCCAATAAGTTGACATTTTGTAATGACTGAAGATTGTGTAGCGTCACGTAACGGCGCAAGATGGAGAACTTCACCAAAACGTTTTCCACCTTGTGCCGCTATTGGTCCCAACTATAGTTGGGATTGGCATAAGTATAGTTTAGACTGTTGCCAAAGTTTGGGCATGACGTCTGTACTTACAAGTACTGTGACACTGATTGTTACACTCTACAAATGGATGAGCACTATGTTTGGAAGCTCAAAGCACCGACTGTATAAACGGTATATTGTACATGTACACAAGTGCCGAAAGAAGCTATAACTGGTTTATTCATGTACCAGACAAGGACAAGAAGAAGAAATACAAAGATGCTAAACTGCGGAGACAGTTTGAGAGACAGGAGGCAAAAACGACTGCTAGAGAAGCAGGGGAAGCCAGAGAAGCTCATGTGAAATCCAAAGGTGAGTAAGAAAACGAAGCGCGAACCCAGTGTCCCTGAGCAGGATATTTTGCAATGATCGGTGCACTGAAACAGGGAGGGCAGCTGGACTTGTTATCACAGTGCCTGTGATTCAGCATCCAAGCATAGTCCCTGAGCAGGACAGTTTACAGTGGTGGGTACACTGAAGCAAGGAATGAGGAATTCAGCTTGTTATCAGTGTGTTATCGGGATGGTTAGCTGTGGTTGCTACATTGGGGGGGGAGAAATCGGGCTTGTTTATCCGACCGTCTCGGGTTCGAATGCAAGCACTGGCCATGTGTTGTGTTCCCGAGCAAGACCATTTGCTGTGGCTGCTGCATTGTGTATTGAAACAGTGGGGGTGGAATTGGGATTGTTCATTAAACCGTCCGGGTTCGAATGCAAGCACCGGCAGTACGTTGTGTCTCTGAGCGAGATCGTTTTCCTATGATTGCATCACAAACAAGGAGGGAGGAGTCAGGCTTTTCATCAGAGTGTTGGTGGTCCGAATGCAAGCACGTCTGACAGGGAATCTTGGGTCGTTAGATCTGGACAAACACTTTGTCCTGCTTACTCCTGAAGCAAGACGGTTCCCGAGAGGGTGAAGTAGGGTTGAGTTGATGCGAGGTCATTGATGATTCACGGCAGAACTAATGGGCTCATTTGTTCTTTCATTCCACTGCAGGCCGCACTTGGACTGTAAGCGTTGCCCTGCCCGGATCGATCCTGGAAAATGCACAGTCGCCGGAGCTGAGAACATACCTTGCAGGCCAGGTAAGTGGAATGGAGACTTTCCTGTGCGATTTGTGTGTACTCGACAAGAGCAGAGCTGTTTATAGAGAGAGTTGCGACATAAGTTTCTCAATTGTTGGAAACAAAATGGTTACTATGCATTTGTGCACATGAACGATTAGCACACAGTAGCTTCATGCCGTTTTGCACACGAAAGGAACAGCCATTTTGTTTCCAAAGTCTGAAGTTGGCGGTACTCTCTGTTTTTAAGACAATTCAGTGTTGCATGTTTGAAGCTTTCTTCTTGCTTCTTTTGTGGAGCATTTCTCTTGAGTGTCTATTCTGGTGGACTGAAATGGCTTGTTTTGCCTTCGTGTGTGCAGATTGCAAGAGCCATGGTGGTGTTCTGCATCGACGAGGTCATCATATTTGACGAGTCTGGAATGCCTTCGGAGTAAGTAACCCTAGCCTCCAAGCAGTTCTTCTCACGAACCTTCTAGAATGGACACCCCCCATCAAATGAAGGGCAACTGTTTTGTGTTGGTTTTACAGGACCACAGACGGAAACTTTGACGGCGTCGGCAAGAAGGGGAATCCCAATGTTCAGCTAGCCAGAATCCTGCAGTTCCTGGAATGTCCACAGTACGTCCCACACAGATGCCAGTGTGAAAGTCACAAGGCGTTTAGTCTAAATTCAAGTTACAAGCTATTCAAACAAACTGCAAGTTTACCCGTTTCCGTATTCACAGTTGAGAACTGGTCTTATCTGAAATTGTCTTGCGATAGTCTCAACTACAGCACTCACTATTAGATACTGAATACTTAACCACTTCCTGCCGGGAATCCGGAATCGGAGACGTATGGTTTATATGCGTTGCCTGGCCCTCCGAACTCAGACAAAGGAAACAGGGCCCTGTAACAAAAGACCGTACTCCGAACAAAAGACCAGGCTGCTGGGAATTATCGACATTTTTCACTCTCAAAAGAGGTGATAATCCAGCCTTGTTTTGAAATAGTATACCAGGGTTTGGGGCATTGAGAGCGAGCGGATTACCACCGGGGACAAAAGCGCTCCACCACCGCAGCAATGAGCCACACAGCACCACTGCACTCTATTCTGGCCCCTATTGAAAACAGGTCAGCAGTGCACTAAGCCAGGTTCATGAACAAAAGACAGTTGTATAACACCGCACAATCTGGGCTCTGGTTACAAGGCTGCGGGCCTGGCTGAAATACTCGGGCGTCAATGAAGGTCACCTGTCAACTTAGAGTTGTGCCTAAAGATTACTTCGTGCGGCTATAAACAACCGTTAAATGGAATGATGAATTTTTTTAAGGATTTTGAAAACGGAAAAAATGATAGTCATGCCGGCCCAGCATCATCAACATTGAAAAATGTCCCGGCATGAAGTGGTTAACACTCCTTCAAAAATACTTTGACAGTTTCCGTATGCAAGAACCCGCAACGTGACCGGGTCTTAACATTTGATACTGCCCGCTGCAATTTGATGATGCCTGCTGTATAAAAATGCGCTGGCACCTGGATGCAAGTTACAAGGTTAATCCATTCCTATTGGTCAAGGGTCTGTGTGCACCGCAGTACGCAGAATTCGCAGTGTGCACTGATAATGCCTTCGTCTTTGGCTCGGGCGTTAGTCACATCCATTCTCCTGAGTCAGTCTTAAACACACGTTTAAGACCAGCTTAGCACATGGGTATTCCCTTAGTTTGAAGTGACGTTGGAACCCTCTCTGATCCATCAAAGTCTGTCAGTGATATTCTGGCATTGAGGAAGGCAGCATTTTACAGTATGTGGGACTTGACGCCCCTCAAAAAGGAGACTGGACACAAGTAATGTCCAAGCCTCCCTTTTTTAGTCAGAGATTCAAAAGAAGTTAATATATGAGATGGATTTTCAGCGAGCTAGAATTTTACTTTCAGTTTCCGGAACATCCCTCTCCTTTTTATGGAATACTCCTTGTGTAAATTGTCCAATTAGCATGCGCGTTGCAAGCCACGTGCACACAAACTCTTGACCAATCAGAATCAATTAAACTGTCTTGTATCCAGGTGCCAGCTATAGATTTATGCAGCGGGCATTATCATCTCGTCAAGTTCCATGTTGTTGAATAGGGAGACTGTCCGATGTATTTATGAATGTGGCTTAAACATTGCGATAAACTGGTAGTGTGTCACATACATGTGTTTTAAATTATTCTAAGCAAAAACTAGCATGAATTTGTATGAAATTTTACTTCGTCTCTGCTATTTTCACTCTTGTGTTCTCAAAATGAAAAGCTTTACCTCACTTTCAATTCAAGATGGCCGACACATGAATATGGTCTATTCAGTCAACCAGTTGATGTAGTTCTCATGATATCTTCCCCAGGTATCTGAGGAAAAATTTCTTCCCTATGCACAAGGACTTGAAATACGCAGGTCAGTCGTCAAGCCATATGTATACGTCACACTGTAGCCCTTCCACCATACAATAACTTCTCAAGATACGGTTGAAAATAACCGGAAGCAAAAGTCATTGCGCCCATGGTCAGCCGACTGGAAATAATGTCTAAGAAACAAGCCAGATGGCTTGTTTCATAGACAAAAAATAATGGTTACCGACCTTCAATCCTCCAACCAACCTTCCCCTTTCAATCTCTGCCAATAGATGTGACACTGTGCATCAGCAAACCTCCCTGTTTTAAGGTTTAGATAAATCGGTAAATTTTTGCCTGGTGACGTCACCAACAGTAGTTGGGTTGATCAGGAAGGCTGGGTCCCAGAGGTTGGAATGCCTTATAGGGTGTCAACGAGAATGCTGCTTGGTCCATTCGGGGCATCCGCTGCTCCTACATGGAATGGCTCGGGAACACGCTTGATTTGACATGATCGCAACAAATTCCTAAAGTGAAGTCACAGTGTTCCCAGTAGGGGCATTCCATTTTGTGCAGGGATTTCTTGACGTCTGAGACATTTCCTAAAAATTCTACCACACCCCAGCAAACCCACCTGTCCACCCCCCCCAAAAAAAAGACATTTGATCGGCCAAAGAGATCTAGTTTTGTCGACCAACACTCACCAACGATTGTCTCATCTCCAGGCCTGCTCAACCCTCTAGACTGCCCCCATCACCTACGCGTCGATGAGGCATGTCCGTACAGAGAAGGCGTGGTGCTAGACCGGGCAGCAGGCCAGGGCAAGGGTTCATTTGTCAATGTGGGTCTTCTAAAGGTAAAAAGAGCTCTGCCCTCACCTTGAAGCGTTAAGGCCCAGCACACCAATCAAACGAGTAAACACATCTTATTTGTTGTTTCTCTTGAAGGTATGAAAACCATTCGATGTCCCCTGTGATTGTTGACAAATTTGCATTGGCATAAAATAAAAAATGCCCTTAAAAATACCAAAATAGAAATTAGAAAATAGGGATGAATTAGATACAAACGTGCATTTGCAAGGAGTGCATTCAAAAACCTTGCTGTGTGGCTCCTTGGGTGTGTTCAATCAATGTACAAAGCTTACATGCCTAATCTTGACAGACTTCTAGTAATTTCTAAATATCTGTTCTCATAGGAAGGGGGTGAATCCCTTGTAGGACTGTTTGTAGAGAGTGACTTTACATCTGGGATTTTTTTCCCTTGGTTTTCAAATCAGGATTTCCATGGTCACCAAAAATCCAGGGGAAAAAGTTGTCCTAGAAGGTTTAATAGAAAAAATAGGGTGTACTGGGATCTTATTGTCAGAGGGGAAAAAATCACGGAAATCAAGATCAAGCAAAGGCTAGTTTTGATGTGCCGCTTTTACTGTAGCAGTGGCTGTGGCAGTCGTGCAGTTCGTAATGTCAAGCCACTTCTTTTGGAAACTGTCGTATTTTAGTCCTTGAAAAGCCCTAAGGTGCATTCCACTTACAGATTTCCACATTTGAGCAAACGTTTGAAAGCTGTGCATCGCGCTAACAGTTTGGACCCAAACAACGTATGTGTGTGTGCACCACAGTTTGTAAACACGGCTGAAGACAGGATTATCTCACACGGTGCAGCCAGCTTTTTGAAGAATTTATGATACTTGACAACCGTCTTAATATTCCTGATTTGATTCTGATATAATTGGGTGGGTAATTTAGCCAACGGGGAAGTTGAGAGCAAAGACTGTTGGATTATGTTTGAGTGTGCAGGAGAAAATTTCATCTGCTAAAGAACTACAGCTAGTTTATTTACCAACTGAGACTGTAAATATTTTATAATCAAGCTAAAATAAAGGTTTCTGTTTGCTTTCCACATATATTTTGATTTGCCAGACTTTCATTCGGTCGGGTTGAGTTTCAGGCCCGATTGAAGCGTTATAAACCATCACTTAGTTCCCACGTTCATCCATTTTGAAAGTTGGTTAACACCTCTTTTGGAGCACTTTTTAAAGGTGTGCTAACATTTGTACACACTTGACTCCAAATGCATTCCTGTTTGAAAATGTTCTCGTTGTTTGCTTAAGCGGAATGCACCCCTGGGAAAGTCATGGAATTTGGTTCTCAGATTTCTGCTGTAACCTTGCAAATGTATGAAACCTTTAACAATGCCCGTCATTGTGGATGTCGTAGGAGGTGCGGGTAGACAGACAGCTGCAGCCAGGCCTGAGAGTAACAGTCCAGATGGCCGACAGTGATTACATCAACTCAGGTACGATCTGAATGCTGTAGGGAGCTGTGCTCAAATGATCACTGCTCCATTGGTTCTTTTCCACCTTTGGCATTTCTGCATTATATGCGCGGGGGAGACACAGCTCTTTGGCATTATCTACTTGCATGTACCTTATATGTTCAAACAGAAGTTAATGGGTTTGGCCCATAGAGCTTTATTAAATTACTGGAGCGCACCTCTCTTTCTCCGTGTGGAGAAGATTCGATTCCACTCCTGGGTGCAGACACTGTGAATCCATGTGCGTGCTTGTAGAACATTCAAAATCAGATAAAAATGAATATCAAATCATGTACTCTGAATGCAACGCGCATCGAGTACCGACAAAATCTGATTAAAAAAAGGTCACAGCAAAATTTATCTCAGGTGCATACGTTCACGCATTTGCGTTGTTTATGCAGAACAAAATGAAATGCTCATTTACTGATTGTGTGTTTAGGTTTTTGCATATTGCTTCCGATGACGCATCATAATAGAATACAGACGCAGATATGCAAATAGCCACACAAAATTTAGGATTTCCGTAGGTTTGTGCACAAACATGGATGCACCCGGCAGACATCACTTTGTACATGAGTCAGCGCTCTAGTTTTTATATACACATGTACAGCTCTAGGGTTTGGTCAAATTGTAAACCAGCTGCAAGAACCTTACAGACTGTCTTTACTGTTTTCCACAAACTCTTCTAATGTAATGGTGGTATTTCATACAACAACATATTTTGAGCAAGGGAAAAAAAATTTGAAGAGAATTTCAGGTACACGTAACCTGGAATTCGGCAAATAAGCCACTTGTGAGTTAAATTTGAATAAAATCTGGTACACTGTGTTATCTGATTGCATAGAAAGGTAACAATTTGAATTCCCCAGACTAAAGGCACTGTTGCTATACCTCGTGATTCGGGGCAAACTTTTGCATAGCAACCCCCATCTCTGGAATGGACTGGTTCCTTTGTGCCATTCTTATCCATTGAGAACAGTGTATTGTTGCAAGGCATCTCTTATGTAACTAAGCAAAAGCTTGCCCCGAATCACAAGGTATAGCAAGAGTGATTTTAGTATGGAGAATTCAAGTTGTTATGTTCACATTAATTTAAAGAACTCGGCGTACCAGATTTTATTCAAAGTTAACTTGCAAATTGGCTTATTGGTACCAGTTGATATCCCAACAGTATTTGTGGCTTGTTTGGCCCTTTTGTAGACTTTATCATTTCATCACATTGATGCCTGTGCCGTCACAGTGACATTTTCTTGTTCACACTTTTGCGAGAATGCTTATTCCATTTGTAACTTGCTCCGTACACAGATAAGAAAACGCTGCGAGGTATGGTGGTCTCGCCTGCGGCACCACGCGCAGAGGCTGGCCTGTATTGGGGTTACTCTGTCAGACTTGCCTCAAGCCTGGGGATGGTCTTTACACACAGTCCCTACAAAGGCGGATATGATGTCACCCTGGGTACGTCCGAGAGAGGGACAGACGTGGACCATGTAGAGCTGCCCAAATTCAGGTATTGAGTTCCCATTTGGATTAGGGTGGCATGAGCCTGTGGAGTTCTTGGCTGTTGAATCATTGAGTTGCAGGCTGGCTGGTTGCCCACTGGCTGGCTGCCGGCTGTCTGACTGCCTGCCTGGTTTGGCTTAGTTTGTAGATCCACGATTGCGTGTCCATGACTGCATGTGGTGTCTGTGATGTGATCAACAGAAAGCTGTCATTTGACAATGAGAAATTCACAAAGAGCCAATGATTGCAGTATAGTATGTCTAATTTGAAATGGTTCGATTAATCAGGGAATCTGGTTGGTCAAGTGTGCTTAAGGTCTACCGTTGTGTTAGCTCTCAGGCATCACTGTAGCCATCGCTGTTGTATCCCTGCAGAACAAAAACCCTCAATCCATGTTAAATTTCTCAAAGGTATGCTTAGTTTTGGCCAACTCCCTTCTTGTTTGGCAGGCATTTGTTGATCGTCTTTGGTGGGCTGAAAGGCCTGGAGTACAGCCTGGACGCTGACGAACATCTAAAGATAGCCGACCCCAAGCTGCTGTTTGACCACTATGTCAACACCTGCCCCACCCAGGGCAGTCGAACAATCAGGACAGAGGTAAGTAGAATTACACATGTAGTCTTGACTTCCCCCCCCCCCTTTGTTCTCCCACTTCGAATACTAAGAAGGTAAAAGACAGCTCAGGGACGTCTTTTCGCTCTGCCTCAACAGAAGCGTGTTTGAAACGTCAAAGCAATAACTGGCAATGTGTTTAACCACTTCCTGCCGGGTGCCTTTTGAAAGTACAGTGCCTACATACGGGCGATTTGTTAACCCCTTCTCGGCGGGAATTTCTTTCTGAAAGCCGACCCCAAGAATTCCAGCCTCACTTGGCCTCAAAGGCCACCCACCAAACTGCAAATTCTCGGTTTGTGGCCCAGTGTGCTCTGCACACTTTGAATTACACGGTGAAAAGGCTGATTGTTCAGTGGCATGCGGCTCTACTCAAGCTTCCACATTCCCGTTGCCTCTTTTCAACGTGGGGACTATTGTGAAGCTGGTGATTATGATGCAAAATCGGTCTTTTCATTTCTTGGCTACACACAAAGGCATGTAGCAACAAAGTTTGGAAGGTAGAATTCACTTATTCGAGAAATATTCTGCTAATTTTCTGTCATTTAAGCCAGCACTGAGCCCACTCCAACTTTCGGTTCTCATTTGGTTCAAAGTTATGACTTCACACACGCACAAGTGGGGTCACTAAATGACATCAGTGACCAAATTAGAAAATGTAGTGACCCCCATCCAGAAAATGAAACTCTCCAAATTCTCTGCTCCCTTTGTTCCAGTTTGAGTCAAAATATGCCCCTGGTCTGACCCTTCGCACAGTCTTCCAATCGTACTTGAAGATAATGCTCTTGGATTTTTTTTCCTGGGAGTTTTATGTTTGTCAAGTGTCGGTCACTATTGCAGCTCAGTTTTTTTGGACGTTATTTACTCTGTCCGTGTTATTATCTTTCTAGGAGGCCATTCTCATCTCGTTATCATCCCTGAGGTCAAAAGTCAACCAGGCAGCATCCCAAACTAACCAAAGTTGACAGCGTCAACTGCAATGTTCGTCAATATTTATTTTTAAACCTAAGAAAGAATTTAGTGAGGTATGTGCACATTTGGCCCAGGACTAGGAGACAGCCTGGGAAATTTTCTAACATTTCATAGAGACTTGGGATTTTCCCCCAAATTTGAAATTTTGTAAAAAGTGCAGGTTTGACACCTTTTGTGTAAAAGTGCTGTTTACAAAGTGGAGGATGCACCCTTCTTTGGGTTTCTTCAAAGAAGAAGAAACCACATTTTTGCTGTCCCATTCCTCCAGCGGCCTCCAGTTGGAGACTCCATTGAAAGTCTGTAGCGCCATCATGTGGGTAAATTGGTCTTTTGCTCATGACAGTTTGTGTTGCTTTCGGGGCCAGATTCAGTGTATTCATCATATGCACAAGGGAATTCGATTTCACATTTTAGTACTTACAAGATTGCAGATGAATGCACTGCTGGTTTGCTTAGAGCACTTCTTTAAAAAACCATACTCACTCGAGTGAGCCTCAAGCCCTCAACTGCTTGCTGGTTATGATGAAATTTTTTTTGTCTTCAGCATTGGCTGAAAGTCAGAAAAATAATAAACACATGGACATCAAAAGACATTGGTGCAGACAATATGACAGTGTTTTTGTAAGCTCATCCGTGGATTTCACCACCGGATTGAGCAGAAATGTTAGTTTTCTTACTGCAAGAATCAGTCGTAGTCGTTTGGTGCAACAGGAAATGAAAAACAAAGCCCCACCAGACAAAAGATTCCCCCCCCCACCTGTCATTGTGCTCTATTGGGCCACAGGAAGTAGATGATGCAACCACCATTGGTTGTCATTCTTGGAGAGAGGATGTTGATCGCATCCCGAGACTATCAATTTCAGAGCTGCTCTTCCTGTGGGTGATTTGAAAGGAGTGGCTTGAAATGATGACAACTGCTGTTTCATGTTCACAGAGATGTTTTGTCTCGTCCCTCACACTGAACTGGCGAAATTTTATTCCCTTTGAAAAGAAATTCCAAACAACAAACATAGCCAAATCAATGAAATACCCACTAGGGTGAGGTTTTCATTAATGGACTACATTTCTGCTGCTGTGTTTTGGTCTCTATATACTGAACTGCTTTTTATTGCTTGTGGCTCTTAGAAGCTCGTTGGTTGAGCAGTTGAGATGTACAGTGCTTGAACCAGCTAGCTGGAGATTGTGGGGAAATTAAGTCACCCAGGCTTGTGCAAGTTTTTTCCCCCACGAGCTCTTAAAAAGCACTGACAGGTATTCAGTGATTCAACAGACGAGGTTCGGATCCTTATCTTAAACTATGCATCACTTTCTGCACTTGGCCCCAACGAATGCCTGGTGCCAGAGTGTCAGTTTTTGTTCAAAATGAAAGGATACCAGTTTATTTGGACAGTAGTAATTATTGTCTACCAACAGCAGGAGGCAAAATGTAGTAGGCCTACGGACATACAGAATACCCTCAGATTGGGGTTCCGTGAAAAGGTGTCTACACTTGCAGTTGTGCCCATAATACTCACGAAGTAGGCCTTTTCTTAGATGAGTTAACAATCTTTGTGAGTTGTTATTTCCCTGAAATTGCCAGTAGGATAAATCAAAGCTAGCTATGAGTATGTGAGTTTGTTTCCAAGAGTGCTCTTGTCAACCCTAACTGCTCAACTTCTGCATTTCAAAATTTTCAGGTGCAGATGCACCCAACCTTAGTTGTCTTGCATTCCAGTCGTTGATGTTACTCGTACGTGAGGTGCACACGGATGTGTAATGGAATAGAGAGATTTTGCAGTACGGTTCCAGCCATGTCATAGGAACTTTTATGGAGTAACAACTGTAAGGAGTCTATAAGTCCAACCTCCTAGGGTGTTTGAAAAGTTTGTATTGAAAGGAGGATTTAGGAATGTTGCAGGCTTGTAGAGTTGTAAGCTTATCCGGGAAGGCCAGTGCCCATATTCAGCCTGGCTCCCAAAACATCAGATCTAAACAATCTTAACATCCACTGCTGCGTATGAAACACTCCAACTGAATTTTTGTAAAAATCTGTCCATTTGTGCTGATGCTGGCCTTTTTTGCTACCCCCACGGGACGCTTAATGCAAGTAGACAGCGCCTTCCTCCCTGGGCCCCACCCTTACCTTGGCCCCACAAGGTGACTGGCACCCCTTGACCTTTTGTCAACTCTGCGGTGGACCTAGTTACATGTATACGCATCCCCCTCCCCCCGTGGCCGCCTCATCGGCTCGGGCCGTAATGTCACACTTCCTTGCAGGTAAATAGGGTGGATGTTCGGGCAGGAGGAGGACGGTGGGGATAGCCCGTGTTGTTTTTCGAGAGTGGAAAGTTGCAATTGCCGAAAGCGATATCCAAGGCCGGATCCAGACCCATGTTTTAGGGGGTGGCCCCCGTTGCCACCCAAGCCCGACCGCTCTTGGCGGTATCTGCATTGCGCCATCTATCTGCAACCTTTTCGAGTACACCGATCGCAGCAGTAATGTGATGGACACTTGCGAAGACCAATTCTGGAAATTAATTATATGCAGAAACATAGCTTACGGTTGTCGGGCTTTTTTTTTAACACAACAACTCAATTTCAATTTTTTATTGCGACCATGGTGTGGCGCCGAGAAATGGCTTTCGTTTGTTGTAAAATCCCCTTTTCGTGCCTTGAGGTACCTTTATTTATCAGGAAACAGCCATTGTATTGTGCTGGACGCGAACACCTCGTTGCCTCTAGCAATCGGAGAACGATTTCGACATAAAATGTCGCATCTTTGCCACTTCTTTAATTTTTGCGAATTCTAACAGCTTCAGTTACAACTTCTTGGCTTGCTTCGCGTGATGTGTTAAATATCAATGTGTTTGTCAGTCGTCCGAATGCAAAAACACTGGACTCGTCTGACCCAACAAGCCTCACCTCTGGGCTATCTGGGTCAGGGATTCAGATATCTTCAGGCATTTTCATTCATTAGTTGACCCGAGCAAAGTACAAATACAGATGCGTGTTTGCCTGGGAAAAGTAAAGTGCCAGACTGTCGGTTCGGATTTAATAGATCGTCCTAATTTCGGTTGGAATAGTAATTTGAAAGGCATGCAGCCAGCGACAAAGCCAACCAACATTCGTAATTTTTTTCTTGTACGGTAGAGCACTTGCACGCGGAGTATCGACTGTAGGGAAGTATTTTTATGTCTGCGAAGAAAGCTTGCTCGTGGCATATAATTGCCAACTTTCCGAAGCCGTTGGCGTTAACGCTGAAATTTATTTTTTACCCAAGCTATAGCATGGTTATTCTGGGAAGTAAAAGTTAAAACAGCAGTACCTGAATGAATAGCCTAATTCATTATCCCAGAGCTGCGAAATTCAGGTGACCCCAGCAGTGGCGTTGCTTGAATTTTACCAGTGGGGGTACAAAGGGGGCACCAGCATCTTACGGGGGGCACCAGCTTTCAGTGGAGTTTTTGTTAGCCTCGTTCAATATCCATTCATCCATTTTTTCAGTGGGGGGGGGACCTGGGTACACGTTCCCCAAGCCCCCCCCCACGCCACTGGACCCCAGCAGTGCAGACAAACATGAATTATCAGCTCATTTTTACTTTATTGCAGTGTTTAAACCAATAAATAAACCAATGCAATAAATAAACCAACAAATCGCATTCAAAAGGAGAGATTTACACGTAAAATCTAAACCATTGTTCCCTGAATAAAAACCAGAAGCAATCCAAGCTTAGAATTCCTTTCCCTCGGTTGACTTTGTTTCATCTCCGGCGTTTCCTCATCAAGTCGAAGGGCCAAGGTATCCCATGTTTAAAACCGACATGTGAATTCGTTTACTTTATTAATTTGCACATTTACTGATATCTCAGGGTCTAATACAAATTGTATTTTCTAATAGCTGAATTCCTACATAGTACATTCAAATTTGGCAAGACAGATATGACTTTGTGAGGTGTTCCAGGCATTAGAAACATCTTGCGACAGGAGGCTTCGGGGATTTAAGGAAACACTGTGAAGCCAGGCCGTCTGTTTGAACCACTGGGCCTTTAAAACCGTTCAACTATCCCAGCACCTCCAAAATACATGTATACGGTAATTTGTTGCCATGTAGTGAGTTCGTGGGTTGTTTGTGCACATCTTGGATGTGCATTCCGGATCTCCGGAATTTTTAGCACGGCATCTCCTGCCCTCCTTTTTTCTTACCGCGCGCCCGAGTGAAGTGCCCGGGGCAGCCGGCATGTGCACTGGCCGACCGAGTCCGGTGTAGACTGGGACCCACCCAGGCACTGCGTCAGTTAACAGCATTCACAACATTTTCTGTTTGTCGTTACGGAAACAGACCTTGGCAACCATGGCACCCGTTGTATCACAACAAACAAATGAAATTGGAACCTTTAAAAAGATTCTCATGGTTTCACGTCAGTACATATTCATAGGCAAGGACCCATGAACCGGGACGTAAAAAGCCAGCCCGATGTATCATCAGTGATTGTGAGGACGACTATTGTATTCAAACAAAAATCACGGCCTAGAATAATGGTGAGTCAGGCCAGGAACATTTTCCTGGTAGGCATTCACGTGAAATGTTTTTGAGCTGTCAACGTACTTCGAAGGCTATAAATTCTTCGTAAGTGAGGTCGTCTCTCTTTTCTTGTTTTTCCATTCAAATCTTTTTTTGTGTGTGTTTGATGATCACGAGGATCGTTTACAATACAAAAAAATGTAACTTTCTGTATACCTATTTACAAATCCACCCCTCCCCTTTTTAATTTTTACTTTGGGTGCAAGAAAAATATGCAAATTTATATTTTAAGTAACGTGATGGTGTAATTATGTTTCCAGCACTGGTTTGGGTTAATTCTCCCTTTTCCATTTTTTTTAGAAACAAAGACACCTCTGTTTCATGTAAATATCCCATATTTTTTCACCACCTTAAACATCAAAATGGCAGTCCTGTTGCATTTATATGTTGAAAAGTAGGTGGGTATGCATGTACATGTTTAAGGTGATGCGTCCAAGAAAGAGAGACGACTTCTCAGGATTATTTCTTCACTTGGAAAGTGTCTTCAGTTCGACAGTCTCTAAATTTTAACAGCAGGGAGAAAGCCAATGTAAGGTTTGTTTAAATGCCCCCAAATGGATAGTCACTAACCTATGTTCCCAAGAGTCGGTGTAATTATAACAGGACGTGGATTATTTTCATTTCAGCATCATTGTTTTTTTTCTGACGTTGTTCCGTGTCTACCTTAGTATTCTCGTCTTTTATTATGCTTCTATGCCATTGGAATTCTGCATTCTGATGTCTCACCCTCCACTCACAAAATAACACCGTGCCACTCAAGCATGTTTTCTCAGAAGACCTTCAGATTAAGCACAGATTCATCCACGAAAGTCATCCCCAAATCACCTTTACCAAAGACCTTGTTGGACACACTTATAATCTCCCATTTCTTTTGTGGTCGGCTGTTTTACAATGAATAACCATTGTAACTCCGCAAAATATTACAATGATCGTCTCACTCTCACGTCGCCAGCGATGATGAAGCGTCTTTGTTTCGGCGTGGATTCTTTGCGCCATTTCGATATGCATCACTTCAGTCCGAATGCTTGTTGGGACATGCTTGCGACATCGTTTTCTTCCAAGCCGGGATGGCAGTAGAACTGAGCAAATACGGATTTCGTAATTGCAAGAAGAGACCCGTTGAGGGCTTACAAGGGCGAGGGAATTTCGACAAATTCGAGTAAAATGGGGATTTTTTTAAGTGCAATCTAGCGCCCCTCTCTCCGGAAAGTCATGCCAAGTACCCTGCACTTGTAAATCAGCCTTGTGTAACCCACCGCATCAACAGTCTAAACAGTCTCTCCTATTTGGGACGAAAGAGCAAGAAAGGCTTCTTCTGTGAAACATCCGGGGGAAAAACAAATAAGGAAAAGACTAATAGTAATACCCCAGCATTTGGGGGTAGTTTTTAAAAAGATTATTAATATTATGTTTATGATTACAGTCTCAAGAGATTAATCACAGAAGGAATGTTTGAATTTCACGAAAATTTTCAGCTTTAAAATAATCGTGTTACAGAAAAATCCCGAACAATATATTTGTCCGTGACATCGTTGGCAAGGCCACGAAACAACCTCAGGAGTGAACAACAAACTCCCCCGACCTAGAAAAGCCTGTCGTGACAAGTGCTCTAAATCTGGCGGTCGCTTCGACCTCAAGCTGAAACGTGTGTTTACATGCATTAAATGACTGCGCAGCTAGCCTTGCTGACTAGCCTTATATGGAAGGCCTACTCAGAACCTCGGTTGTAGCATGCCTGTAAAATTCCCTTTGTTACAAAAGGTGGCATTGTGTAATTCGGGAACGCCCTTGTGACGTGTACTTTGTGCGAAAAATCATTTTGCCTTTATTCGTGTACATCATTGCTCAATAATTGATATCTTTTTGTTTGGATTTTTTATGGTAAGCTCTGAGGGTACTGCAACTAATAATTACCTTTGAAAAATTCGGTGCAACGGAAAAAAAAAACAAAAGATATGGCGACGAGGTAGCGCTGGATCGGCGCACCAACTACATGTATTTATAAATGTCGCATCCTTCCTTGGCAACGTTGTTTTGGTGCTACCGGCAAGGTGATGACGTGCACGTGGAAATTCCTTTCATGAAGAGTAGATGACGTACGCATTCATTACGATCGATGATTGGGCAGTGTGCCATTCATCCCATTGTCACGTGGGATGCCTCATTTCTATTTTTGGCCAGCCCGCCCGTGATTGGCCGGCTGATTGATTAGGTGACGTCAGCGGACGCCGTGGATAAAGACCTGAGTGACTAACCGTCAGTCTACCATTCATTCATCCGGTGCCGTTTGGGTTGGTACGTGTACCCAAATACAACCGATTTTATTCCCACTTAAAGCTTGTATTAAAAGCTCAACAACCCGAGGTGTAAACCAGCTGTCTGGCAACAACTTGGAATCATAACACAGCGTAGTTGCTGACATTAAAGGGAGAATTTAAGCCGTAGAAACGAAGATGGAAGCCCAGCAAATCATCACAATGTCTATCAACAAGATTACCGGTTCGCGTGGCCAGCGCGGCGGTGTGAATCTCCGGAAGAATCTGCTCGTGGCCACAGTGCTTCACTCAGCCCGGGCCATGTATTATGAGGAAATGTGCAATAGGATGGCCAGGAATGCCGAGCTGCGCTCAAGGGAAAGAGATACGATTGTCGATGAGGAAGATGACGACTGCACCGAAGCCCCCGATTGGGGAGACTCGAACAACTCTGAGGAGTCGTCGTCATGCCAGCGCATGGAGGCTGAAGCCACCGAGCTCCCCACGGAGGACAAAGAAAACTGCCGGCCCGTTCCCACCAATGCCTCGTCCGTGCAGGCCAGGCTGGAGAAACCCCACACGGACAGTACTTCATCCCCTATGGTCGCTGACCAGAAGCAGGAGGAGTCGTCACCAGACATTGATCGGATGGTGCTGGGACAATTGAACACCAACTCGCCCCCGACCGGCTGTAATGCCTGCAAGCGAAAGCGGTCAGAATCGGCCGACGAACTCCGGGAAGCCTGCGAATCCATCCTGCCCAAGCGGGCCAAATCGTCGGACTCGGAATGCCAAACTGAGGAACTTACCTCGTCAGCGTCCACGCCATCGGCAAAACAGAACTCGGAGGGGTCTATTACGAGCTTGGTCAGCATTTTCAAATCTGGATTCCACGGACTATCGGGGGAGGCTAATCCCAGCGGCAAAACCACGAACATCGGGTCCAGCAACCACCTCCAGCAGTCGTCGTACGCATCGTCCATGCCCAGACCGTTCGAGCAGCTACAAATGCCCATTGCCGCTTGCTGAACAAAAAACTCTTGGAATACCAAACTGTTGCTGAACTGTTGATGTTCTCTGGTCATCTAAAACATGTTGATTTGATTGATTTTAATGATAATTTATGATTACTTTTGTGCCCTTGGATTCAAATTCAAAGGTTGATGTTTTCTCGTACACAAAAGTACTGGCATATTTTCTCTTGCCTTCGAGAATTTGACGAAGAGAAAATATGCAGCCAAACGCATTATCATGCTGCATTTTTCTCGGTAAATCTCTGTAGTATTTTTATTGTGAGGTCATTTAATTTATTCCAGCACGATGATGATGCATACAGTGTTAAAAATTCACCACTGTTGACGTGGCACAAAGCGAACTCGACACTGCATATTTGTGTTAGCTATGCATGTGATACACGTTTCTTTGTCTGGCGGGAAGTGGCTTTCTTTTCAACCCGGCGTGCCTGGGCCAACGACACAATGGCCCCGGCACCCCACACAAAGGAGCGCTCGGCGTGAACGCCTAGTGTGTGGAATTCTTTTTTTCGCGGGCATCGGGGGTCATGTGGAGGCTGGTAATCACACCGCTCTGTGGCCTCGCCCTAGTAGAGCCCGCTGCGACAGGAAATGCAAAAAGCCCATAAATTTCCGGTGTGCCGGCTCCGGCCAAATATCTGACATGATTAATGATTGTCATTTCTTCAGTTAATCATTCCTGTCATACTCATCAAATTCGGGAAACTATTTGGCAGCGTTGGAATTTCATTGGTGTTTATTCGACCTGACAGTTGTACAAATTTTCCTCCAAATTCCTTAATCTGAATCTAATTAATTTACGATTTATTTGTACCGTTTTGGGTTTTGGCACGGTTGATGAAATCGGTTGTTGATTTGAAAGCCAAATTTCCGCCTTTCCAAAGCCCTTCCCACTAGACAGGACATACCTATTTGTGTCAGCTTCCTCAACTGTGTGTCAGTGTTTCCCGTGGGTGACTTTTTTGTGCAATAAATGCCCACCCGTGATATGGATATTGCCATTATCTCTCAGCATTCCCGCTAATCCTGTCGGATGTGCTGGCTGCATGATGTGGCCATGTCTCACATCCGGAAAGGATGACGCGTAGTACAATGTATACGTGTACATGTATAATTCAGTTAACTAACAGGCGTGCCATTTTAAACGCAGTGATGTCATAATCGAATAACGCATGCTCAGGTTTAACTTTGTTACATGTGTACATGTATATACATGGATTTGAACTCCCGAGACAATTTAAAGCCCGATTTTCATCAACTTCGATCCCTCAACCTCTGAGGAAACCCAAGTAGCTTGTAAGGGAACAAGAGTGAGCCTTGGCACGACGCCCACGCCTGATGATGAAATACTGGGCCGCCATATGGTGAAAAGTTCGTGTTGTAATTTTCCATTCGTCGAATACCAAGAACTCGGGTGCGGTGCATCATACTAACTAACGTAAAGGTTAGTGCGGTTGCGGATTCCAAAGTCCATGTTCGCAGTGTTCGGTCCGTCTTCTCAGCACTGTGTTTTATCTGAGGGTTGGTCGATGAATCACTTGGGATTCTTTCAATTATGTGTCGACACCATCATCACAATAGTTATTGGGAGAAAGTGTGTAATCACTACCGAGTTGACTTCGCACCAATTGTTATGAATCATGAACAGCTGCACGACTGTTTGTGTTTATTTTTTGTAAATTATCATTAAGTATAATTGTATGAGATTGACATTGAACTTTCATTATCAACATGCCTTAGCAGACTTAATGGAACATCGTATTGAGATTGTATATATTTTTGAATTCAAATACATGTGGCCGGTTTTGCGGTCGGAAACGAAATACATGAAGTCGTGTTGGTCCAGTTTTTTCTCACTTCAGAATGTTACATGTTTGATATTGTCAGCAGTGTGCCATTATGGGAATGAACCCCTAGTACAGATTGCAAGGAGGTCAAATTTTATAGTTGCGACCGTGCTTTTTCGAGGAAAAAAATCGAACGAGTACATGTAGATCTTATGATCTGGAATTTTAAGCAATATGAATGCTTTGTCTATAATTATGAACATTTCTGTGCTGAATTGATGAGAACATGTCTGACCATCCAAGCCGTTGGCTGGATGCATGTGCATGTTTTGTTTTTTCTGATGGTTCGTCTTTGCAAGGCACGCATCAGTAGGCTATGTTACGTCATGTACAGTGCATGTTCATGCACTTTTACACGGAAATGTCAAACGCCTACGCGGTACATAGTGCATCCTTTATCACGCGAAAATCCTCCCATTTTGCTTACCATTATTCTGCTAGCACTGCTTTTTATCTGTGGGCGGTTCTACCAGCAGCTTCCCATAATTTACGTCAGTACATTGCCCAAGATGTATGTGTTTACTCAAATAATGAGCTGGCACGGAAGGAAATGAAAATAAGTGTTTGCTTTGAAGATACTTTACATGCAGTGCTCTCATGACTGTTAATGTGACTTGGAATGACATCCTCGCGCATACTACATGTTGGGACTTGCAAGCATTTAATACGCATGACACTGAATCCGAATGGAGACAAATTATTTTTTTTCACAGATTAAATCTTGCGTCATTGTGAACAGCTTATAGCTGTTTCAAAAATTCTATCCCATATGCTTTTTGATAAACATACTCCAAAAGATATGCTTGAGAAGCACTATAGACTGTAGTTACTACACCGCAGGTGAATAGTCGGCATGCTTTCTGTCCATTTGTAACAGGAATGGATATTCTCGGAGGTGCCTCTTCATACATCCTGTGTTTGGGCGGTGCCGGGGGCGTTAGCCAAGAAGGATTACTTTTTCGGGTTGCCCCATTTGCGCATAAATGGATAGGATAAAAAGATATCCACACCAACGTAGCGGCTCACGGTGAGCATGCGCTTGTTCTTGCCATAGTCCTGCATGTCTGGACATGTCATTTTTGCATTGATAGCGTTGTCGGTATTCAACACTCGATTCGATCTCCGAATGTCCTTTTTATAGGAAATTTATGTATCATTAGATATGTTAACAGGTGTAAAATGCAACATGTGTAAGCGAGAAAACTACAAGATGTCATCAATAACGTTCGTGTATATTACGCGTAAGCTATTAACATGAAGAATAATGCCCTGCATGCATGCGCATCACGCAAGTCCTTTCTGGGAATTAGGCCTGCGCTTTGTGAATGAGTGCTTTCGCTCAGGTGTGGCATTGAGTACATTTCACATGTAATTTGACCTCGGGCCGCTGAACATCTTCCACGAAAACGCTCTCGATTTATACAGGGAAAAGCGAAAAAAAAACACAGTTTCAGTAGAAGGTTCGGCTTTACAGTTGCTTGGAATCAGGTACTTCTTAAAAGGGAGGGGAAGACTTGCAGGATTACTGCAATTCTAAATTTGTTGGGCACGCAGGAAATGCTAAAAACGGAAACGATTTAGAAACATTTCGTAGAAATGATTCTTTTGAGTTTTTTGCAATTGAGCAATTTAGGCCTTGAGGTATAGTTTTCCCTATTCAAATCTTGGGTTTTATATAACTTTTCATTTGGCCGTCTGCAAACTTAATATTATTACTTGATGACCAGAATAAGGATACTTCCTCCACTGATAGAGCAAGCTGCATATGGAGTGATCCTGGAAGCTAATGCTTTTTCAGAACTCCTAACAACTCCCGAACTCCTCCCAAAATGTCGATTTCCTAAGCGGTCAGTCAAAAACAGCGATGGATAATTATTACGTAAGCCTTCGAATGTCCCAATACTGTCATGCATAAATTTGGGAAGTTGTGTATGAATGTACATGCAGCTCTCTCTTTCGCAATGAATGCACAACTCATCAAGCAAATTGTTTTTCACACATTTTGCAACATCCCTCTGCGCCAAGTTATCACAAGGTGTTAAACCACACACATACATTATGTGGGCGGTTGAAGCCAAAATGACGACAGGTCATCCCGTACAAATTCCGTCCACGTTGGCTGTTTTGTGCGTGATCCCAACGACAAATATCCACCTGGGTGCGATCTCTCGCCACATCCTGGACAGTCATACAGATAAAATGTGCTTTTTCTTTCAAACCGTTAACCGCCCACTACTGAACACGATACTCATTGGTTCAGTGGCATGATGCTGCGTGAGATGGCGTGGTAGTTAAATGCCACGTGTTTGTATGCAAAGTAATCACTGTGTGACAGGTAGATGCGGTAAAATCCTATTTATTATAAACAATATCTATATCTGTACACAATATGTTAGTATTCAAGTAAACGGGTGATTTACCGATAAACATGTACTGCATTTGTCCTTAGGCAATTCGAATATCGTTTTCCATTTTGTAGACATCAAGAATGAATGACAGAACTGGGAAATGTCGACCATAGTGGATGGACCATAATGTTTTTGTAATCATATTGATCAAGAAAAAAGAAAAGGTTGGACTTGGATATCACACTCAATGCAGTGGTCGATTTGATCAATCAGGCTATGGTGGCCGATTGGGTTTGTAGCTCTTTGGTATCACTCGTGGCGTTATCAACTGAAGTGTCAAGATCAGTATTGTTTGATCTGCTGATATTTATATACCCAGTGCTAAGTAGTCTTATCTTCCCTTAATTTGTGAGCTTTTTGTAACTTCTAATTTCTCGCTCGATTTTATGAGATGATAGGCTGCTTTTAGGAAGTTTCGTTTCAGACCATCCCACTGAAAAATACCGACAGATGCACGAAATCACGTACACGCGGCCTTAACACACATCCATCCAGTTGCTCTATGCCGCTGTATACCTTTATATGAAATTTCATAACTGACCTCGGACGGAGAGACTCATGGGTACGTTTTATGTACGATCACACTGCATTGGAAAGCCAACAAAAGCAACAACAGTGGTATTAACTTTACAACGACAATAGTGTATTTGTTCCTTTGATCCAGGCGCTGACATTTCCTGTGTCCCTTCGCGGCCTGCCTTTCAGAGCACTCTCGCCTAATGAGTGCAGCGACCTACAAAATAAACCAAGCTTCACAAAAATACCAGCCTTGGGGTGGGGGGCGTTTCTAGTCATTCCACCGACAATGCAGTGATGAAGGTCTCTACCTTGGAGGCGAACAGGATTTTTCAGTGTAACCCCCCCCAAAAAAAACCTTTGTCTTTCTCGGCTTTCCAGGGGAACCTACCAATGCATCTGACAAATGACGGCTACCCGCGTTTCCAACATATGCCCGGGGAAGCGTGTGGCACATTCTATCCCAAAAATGGGCATGGGTGGCTGATACTGCCAATAGATTTATTGAAAAGGAAAGGTAACCCCTATTATGAGCTTATTTCGCCGTCTCTGACATAGCTGTTTTCATTTCTTCAAGTGGACTTTATCTGACTGGGTTTTTTTGCCAGTTTCCTTCCGGTAACAAAACGGCAAAAGCGTCATATTCTTTGGTTCGTGTAGGAGTGCTGAGATCAAACGTTGTTGCCGGGGAGGGGGGCGGTATTTCGATGAGAGTTGCACATTGTATTGTTTCCGCGAAAGAACGTACTGTTTGTGTGATGGACTTTGGTAAAAGGTGCCCCCTTGAGTGGATTCTTTCACTAACCAGGGCCGTGCCTTTGTCGACAAAGAATCGGAAACGACTGTTGCTTACTTCCCCAGGTGGGCCTGTTTTCGCCACGGCCTTCTGAGAAGTCTTATCGAGCTGCCGACTCCTCTCTTACGTAAACCCTCAGAGTGACAAAGGAGGCGACAAAATAGAGTCAGCCTACGCGTGTAGACGGCGTGGAATTTGAGATAAGTGTGGCTTGGTTTGGTACCGCCCTTAGTAACAGCTGCTTGAAGATACACGTCAAGTCCATGAGAAACGCACCCGGGACGAAAGAAAACAGAATATTTCTGTTGTATTAAATCTAGTCAGATTCTGCGAAGGGTAACTATTCAAGATAGTTTTACTCACTGCCTCAATCTTATATGCGACATGACTGCGAGGCAAGAAAGCAAAGGGTTTAAAAATTCTGATTAAAAGGTATTAGTTTTTGCGCAACGGTTTCAGCGAGAAACATGTTCCATTGATATTGTCTCTGTATAAACAGCCTCTGAAGTGTGCGCCTGAAGTGACGTCACAACCGATGCCATGTTGCTTGAAACCATTGAGAAGATTTTAATTTAAAATATTAAAAAATCCACTCAAAGTGGATTGCCATTTCATACAGCTTGGAGATTGGACAATTGCACAAAATGTACTTTTGCGTAAACACCATGTTATTTGCCTTGAAGGTCTAAGGTTAGCGGCTTATTATGTAACACATGCGCAGTTGGAATTTTCGCAGAAAGATCGATTCGTGGAAAGAAAAACACCAACTCGCGGAAGGACACCGCTCGCACTGAGTGGAACACATCCGTGACTATCGTGCCTCAAGCAGACAATCAAATCAATAACACAAGTGCAGTTTATCACATTAATCCTAGTCAATCACGTGATCAGTAATAAAATCGATCCCTTTAATTAAAATCACGTGAAACAGTGTACTCTTGTTAGCAATTGCAAGTGACGTTAGCTAACGCCCTCCTGTATTCATTTGGAATGCCAACTACAACACGTAGGAGTCATGATGCACACAAAGAGATTTTTGTTGAATTGATTCCCTTTTCTGCCCTTTTAAACTAACAATTTCATTTTTTAACTAGTGAAATGGAAACTAAAATGAATTATTATGCCAGCGAGGCCGTCCCTCTTTTGTGAACAATATTTACATGATACAACTAGCACGCGTTGATTCCTGCGCGTCACGCCACATTCACCCCAATATAATTCAGCAAATTACTAAATCACTGAAATGAAGTATTTTATC